CATCCCTTCCAGCCCATCTTCCCAGGTCTCAGCAGCTGCTCCGCCTTTCCTTGTCCCATGGCCCCCCATTATTGCAGTGGTTTAAAACAGTGGCTCACGCCTCCGTGGGCCTCTTCCTAGGCCTCGCTGGCAAGGCCGCAGGAGGTCCGTGTGCCTGGGAAACTTCATCTCAAGCACGCCTGTGCCTGGCACACCCTCCCGGCCGCCCTCACCCCCGTCCCGATGCCCCAGCTTGGATCTGAGCTTCAGAATGGACCAGGCTTCCAGCATGGTGCCTGGTTCTGAGTCCGCTTCCCAGGCCTGGCCCGCCTCACTGGCCACCTTCCTCCCCAGGTGACTGCGGTCAGCCCGTTCGGCTCCCACGCCAAGCAGGGTGGCCAGGGCACTGTGGCACCGAGCACGCTAGCACAGACGCAGCCGGGTGGCCCGCAGGGGCCCCCTGAGGCTCCCACGGGTGTGTGCTGGCCAGCCTGGCAGGAAGTGGTCCCATGTCCCTGTGTGTCGTGGGCTGGGCCCAGGCCTGCAGTGCCTCCCAGCCTGCAGTGCCTCCCAGCCCGCAGTGCCTCCCAGCCCGCAGTGCCTCCCAGCCCGCAGTGCCTCCCAGCCCGCAGTGCCACCCAGCCCGCAGTGCCTCCCAGCCCGCAGTGCCACCCAGCCCGCAGTGCCACAGGTGTCCCCGCAGTGCCACCCAGCCTGCAGTGCCTCCCAGCCCGCAGTGCCTCCCAGCCCGCAGTGCCACCCAGCCCGCAGTGCCTCCCAGCCCGCAGTGCCACCCAGCCCGCAGTGCCACCCAGCCCGCAGTGCCTCCCAGCCCGCAGTGCCACCCAGCCCGCAGTGCCTCCCAGCCCACAGTGCCACCCAGCCCGCAGTGCCACCCAGCCCGCAGTGCCACAGGTGTCCCCGCAGTGCCACCCAGCCCGCAGTGCCACCCAGCCCACAGTGCCACAGGTGTCCCCGCAGTGCCTCCCAGCCCGCAGTGCCTCCCAGCCCGCAGTGCCACCCAGCCCGCAGTGCCACCCAGCCCGCAGTGCCACCCAGCCCGCAGTGCCACAGGTGTCCCCGCAGTGCCACCCAGCCCGCAGTGCCACCCAGCCCGCAGTGCCTCCCAGCCCGCAGTGCCACAGGTGTCCCCGCAGTGCCTCCCAGCCCGCAGTGCCTCCCAGCCCCGCCTCTCCACAGGTGTCCCCGGGGATCATTGCCAACCCCTTCGCCACGGGCATCGGGCACAGGAACAGCCTGGAAAGCATCTCCTCCGTTGACCGGGAGCTGAGCCCCGAGGGCTCAGGCAAGGTAAGGCTTGTGGCGGCTGGCACTGAGGCTGGGGCCCTGGTGCCAGCCTTGACCACGTCTGCCATGCCCGCAGGAGGAGCTGCCCACCCCAACGCCTCCCTGGGGGCCTGTGCCTACGGAGGCCGCGGTGAGTCTCCCTTTGGCCCGCCTCGGAGCCCTGAGTGTGACCCTGACCCCACAGCTCTGCTAGCCCTGTGTCTGCTCTCCACAGGCCCCGAGTCTGGAGCCCCTCAAGCTGGACTACCGGTCCCTGGCCGCGGTGCCCGGTGCCGGCAGCACGCACAGGGTGAGGGGTGTGGGGCATGGAGGCCCCTTGAGACCTAACCTCTCCTCCCGCCTTTCCTGGAGCCACTGGGCAGCGGTGGGCCGGGGGAGCCCGAGCCCAGCTCGCTGGGGGCAACGGGGCTGCTGGGACCCCAGCGCCGGCTGGGCTTGTGGAGGGTCGGGATGCACAGCCATCACGGGTGGGCTGGGGAACAGCACAGGCGGCGTGGGAGGCCTGACCATGGGGAAGGAGGGGCTTAGGGGAGGGGCGCGTCCAGAGCCGTGAGCCGGGGGAGGCCCCTCCCACAGGGAGGCCCGAGGGAGCGGCCCGCGGAGGACCCGCCTGGCCAGGGTGCTTCTATGGCTGAGGAGCCGAGGGTGGAGGGAGCACTTCCGGGACCCTCAGGAGAAGGTGCAGCTCCCTGCTTCGTGGGCTGGTGCTGCCTAGGCCGCATCGCTGCCCTGCCCTGGTCTTTCCCTGTCCCCAGCTCTAGCAGAGCTTGGGGCTGTGAACAGACGCCTCACTTCCCAGCTGAGGCTCCAGTAGAGCAGAAGGCTGCGTGCCCCTCAGCCCGAGGGGGAGGCCGCTGTGGAGGCCGCCCGGGCTTGCCTGTGCTGGGGACGGAGGAGGGCACCTTCGCTGCAGGGGGTGCAGGCACCGGGCCCAGACCCCCTCCCCAACCCTCCCCACCCACTCCCTTCCCTCAGGCGCCGCCAGGAACACCTGGAGGAAAGGCGGCGGGCGCTCCCTGCTCTCCAGGCAGCCCGCAGGTGAGTGTCTGCCACAGGCCCCGGGGCGCCATGCTGAGGGCCGCCCTCCCTGCTCATGCGCTCAGGCTGGGCCCAGCCAGAGAGCTCAGCTGCGCCCCCACCCCCACCCCACCCCCCCGCCCGGCTACGTGGACCGTCTGGTCGCAAGCACCTGCCACGCACTGCAGGGCATCCCAGCCCCTCTGAAGCGGGTCCTCCCATCTCTGCTACCAGCTTGGCCTCATCTCTGTCTTTCTCTCTTCCTTCCATTCCTGCTGCCACTGGCCCCGCCCCTGCCCTGTGCAGACCAAACCAGGGGTGATCCAGCCATTGGCTCAGGCCTGGCCCAGGGGCTCCCTGGCCCCCAGGGACAGAGGTGGCCCCTGCTCTGTGAGTGGCCTGTCCCACGGGGTGGGGATGGCAGCGAGTCCTTCCTGGGTGGGGTGGGGGTGGGGGACCGCTGTGCCAGCCCCGCTCACGGGTACTCTGCCCCCAGCCGCCCTCCCCGGACGAGCTACCCGCCAATGTGAAGCAGGCCTACAGGGCCTTCGCCGCCGTGCCCGCTGTACATGCCCCCGAGGACCGCAGCGGGCAGGTAAGGCCATCCACGGGTGGGGCTGCCCGGGACGGGGGGGGGCCCGCGGGAGGGAGGCCCGCCGAGTCTGAGAGCCCGCCCCCGCCCAGCCCCCCATGCCTGGGCCAGCGGCCTCCCCCGAGCAGCTGTCTTTCCGAGAGCGGCAGAAGTATTTTGAGCTGGATGTGCGGGCACCCCAGGCCGAGGGGCACCCCAAGCGCGTGTCCCTGGTGGGTGCGGATGACCTGAGGAAGATGCAGGAAGAGGAAGGTGAGGCGCGGGTGAGGTGTGCGTGGACGGGCGGGCCCAGGCCGCACAAACTGACCCTTCACCGCCCCGCAGCCCGCAAGCTGCAGCAGAAGCGGGCGCAGATGCTGCAGGAAGAGGCCGCCGCGCAGCGCATTGCGGGGCCCAGCCCGGGCCGGGCGGCACTGGACGAGGAGCTGCCGGAGGACGAGCCGCCCTGGGCGGACTCTGGCCCCCTGAGAGGGTGAGACGGGGCGGGCGAGCTCTCCCCTCCCCCCGCAGAGGCCCCCCTCACTGTGCTCCGGTCTGGCTCCCCAGGCCCAGTCCGGCATCTCCCCAACCTCCGAGCAGCGGTGCCCCAGTGCGGACAGCCAAAGCGGAGCGGCGCCATCAGGAGCGGCTGCGCATGCAGAGCCCAGAGCTGCGGGCACCCGAGCGGGCCCTGTCACCCGCAGAGCGCCGGGCCCTGGAGGCTGAGAAGCGGGCGCTGTGGAGGGCCGCCAGGTGAGCCCCGCTTCGGCCTCTCCCAGCCCCGCCCGGCCCCGCCCAGCCTCACCACGCCATCCTTGCAGGATGAAGTCTCTGGAGCAGGATGCTCTCCGAGCACAGATGGTCCTTAGCAAGTCCCAGGAGGGCAGGGCCAAGCGAGGGCCCCTGGAGCGGCTGGCCGAGTCCCCGTCGCCAGCTCCCACCCCGTCCCCTCCCCCCCTGGAAGGTCTGTGCTGGGGGGGCGGGGGGCCGGGCACGGTGGGGTCTGGCCTCCCGCAGGGGCTTCACCTGCTCTTCATCCTGCAGACCTTGGCATCCAGACCAGCACCTCCCCCGGACGCCTGGTGAGGAGCTGGCAGCCCCAGCCCCGGGGAGGGGGGTCCACGCGCCTCCCCCTCACCTCCTCCTTGCACACTCTCTGCCTCCCCCCCTCACGCTGCCCTCCCAAGCCTCTGTCTGGAAAGAAGTTTGACTACAGGGCGTTTGCAGCCCTGCCTTCTTCCAGACCTGTCTATGACATCCAGGTACTCGGGCCTCCCGGCCCAGATGCACGCCGCCGGCCCACGCTCCCGCCCGCCCTTCTGTTTCCTGCCCCACTCCTCTGCCCGCCTCCCTTTCAAAGCCGGGCTTGGCCCTGACCCCATACAGACTCCGTGGGCCTCGGAGCCGGGCAGGTGCCGGGCCCACGGTGGGCACAGGCCGGGCACTGACTGCTTTTTCCCATCCCAGTCTCCAGACTTCGTGGAGGAGCTGCGGCCTCTAGAGCCGTCTCCCAGCCCTGGTGAGCTGGCGGCTGGCTGAGGGCGGGCTCCAGGGTGCAGGCGACCCCCACTCACGGCTGCTGTCTCTGTCCCCAGGCCCACAGGAGGAGGACGGGGAGGTAGCCCTGGCTCTCCTGGGCAGGCCTTCGCCCGGTGCCGTAAGCCCCGAAGATGTGACACTGTGCAGCAGCCGCCGGGCCGTGCGGCCGGGGCGCCGCGGCCTGGGCCCCGTGCCCTCCTAGGGGCGGCTGCCTCCCCGGACTTGGGGTGGGTGGGGGCCCCCGTCGCCACTCCTGCCCCAAGTCTTTTAACCTGGGTGTTAGCATTTTAAAGAGATCCCTCAGGAGCTCCACCTCCGACTAACCCTCCCCCGAGCCAGGACCTCTTGGCAAGACTGTAACTAGTGACGTTTGTACAACCAAAGACTCTATTTTGTGGTTTAAGGAGAATAAAGTTAACTACATTTTACCTCCTGTCTGTCTGTCCACCCACCAGCCCGGCTCCCTTGGGCCCTGTAAGTGTCCAGGTGACCCTCCTGTCCCTGCCCAGGCCAGGCCTCCGGCGGGTGGGGCTGGCAGGGAGTGGGGACTTGCCAGGCAGCAGGGGCACGGTGCCCGCTGGCTGCTTCATTGGCCAGACAACAGGAGGCCTGGGCTGGGCAGCTGCACCCGCACGGGGAGCAGCAGCTGCAGCTGCTCCGCCGGCGGCCACTGCAGCCGGGTGACTACGAAGAGGCGGAAGTGGGCCAGGCGCGCCGCCTGGAACTGAGACGGCTCATACTCGGGGCCGTCGGCCGGCCGCAGCAGCTCCAGGTACCGCTCCTGCGCCAGCCACTCCCGGCTCAGCAGCGCCTGCGCCAGCCCCGGCTGCACGGCCTCCAGCTGCTGCTGCACCACGGGGAACAGGTCCATCTCCCGCAGGTCAAACACCAGCGGCTTCCCGTACCTGTGGGCAGCGCCGGTGAGGGCGGGGCTGGGCCAGCGCCGCACCCTGTCCCGCCTCACCTGAGCGCCCCCAGCAGAGCCAGCCGGATCCTCTCGGGCCTCAGGTGCTCGGGGTTCACGGTGTCCACGTAGTTGGTGTCCTGGTAGCGCAGGAAGGTGGCCGCCTGTCCTGAAGGGTCGATGATGAGAGGCCACCTGTGGACAGCCGCCAGTCAGCTCTGCAGGCACAGGGACCACCCACGCCCAGCCGGAGCACTGACCGGCCATCGGCGAGGATGCGGTCACCCACGTCCTTCATGAGCACGTCGTGGAGCTCGCTCACGCGGCACCTCAGCCCCGGCACCTCCTCCTCCTCTGGGGGCGTGACACAGATCACTCAATCTACCCTTGGCCCCGCCCACCCTGGGTCTGCTCCCACCCTGGCCTTGTCCCCCAGACCCCCAGCTTCTCCCTGGAGCCCCGCCCACCCTGGGTCAGCCCCCACCCTGGCCTTGTCCCCCAGACCCCCAGCTTCTCCCTGGAGCCCCGCCCACCCTGGGTCAGCCCCCACCCTGGCCTTGTCCCCCAGACCCCCAGCTTCTCCCTGGAGCCCCGCACACCCTCCTGGATCTGCTCCCACCCTGGCCTTGTCCCCCAGACCCCCAGCTTCTCCCTGGAGCCCTGCCCACCCTCCTGTATCTGCTCCCGAAGCTCCAGCCTGGCCATGGCCAGTGTCTCCTCGGCCTTCTGGGCCTCCTGCCGCAGCCAGTCCACCTGGGCCTCCGCGTCCTTGATCGCCTGGAGGAGGGGCCATGCTGACTCCTCGGCCGGCCCTGTGGCTTTCCCTGGGGCGCAGCACCCGCCCAGGCCTCCTGGCCCTTGCCCCACCCTGACCCCAGGAGTAGCCTCTGCACCAAGGTGACACGCCAGGTTTAGGAGGGAAAAACAAGGCCACCACCCCGGGCCTAGGGAACACAAAAGCCCTAGGCTGGAGCCGTGTGGAGCAGGGACCCCAGCGGCGCTACCTGCAGCGTGAGCTCTGTCTTGCCCATGTGCTTCCGCTCACACTTATCGTGTTCCGTGATCCTCCGGTTGAGTTCACAGTAGGCCTGCTGTAGCTGGACACGCAGGTGGACCTCAGGCGCTGGCCAGTGCCCTACAGCCAGGGGCTGCCCGCCTGCCCCGACTCACCTCCTTGTGACACCGCTGCTGCTCCTTGGCCAGCTGCTGCACCTTGACATTTATTCTGGAGGCCGGGGGCTGAGTCAGAGGAGCCCTCCCCTCCCACCCTGTCCCAGACACATGTTCTCACAGACAAGTGTGCACCTGTGCACATGCACACGTGTGTGCGCACACACTGACCGCTTGGCCTCAGCCTCCTTGTGCTTCCGGGCTTCCTGGTCCCTGCGCTGCCGCTCGGCCTCCATGTTCTGGAGCATGGCTTCCGTGAGGCTCAGATCCCACGACCGCAGCACACTGACCACCGTGTCCAGGGAGGCCACCTGAGACAGCACAGGGCCAGGGCTGAGCCATGTGCTTGGTGTGGGAAGAACTTCCTCACCCTAGAGGAAAGGGCTGCAGTGCCCACTGCTGGCCCTTTGGGCTCCGCAGCCCAACCAAGGGCACAATGGGACACAGAGCAGGCACAGCTCCCGTGTAGAGCTGCCCAGGCCCCAGTGCCGCCCTCCTCCCCCATCCACATCACCCCACGCCACAGCCTCTGCACTGCCCGCCAAGGCCACCATGAGCCAAGCAGGCTCCCCCAGGCAGCAAGGCCCCTCCCCCAGGACAGGAAGTCCCCTCCCTGGTAAGCAGGGTTCTCTCCCCAGGACAGCAGCGGGGTGTGCAGCAGCTGGGTTCAGAACCTGCCAGGAAGGCAGGCTCACTGGTGCCTGGCTCTGCCATCTAAGGGGCCCGGACACCCACAAGCCGGGGGGCCATGCGGACCTGGCGGGGGAGGGGAGTGCCCCTCCCCTCCCCCCACTGATGAGAGAAGACTGCTCAGCACGGCCACATGCGCCCCTCAGAGCCACACTTGTGGGGCCAGAGAAGCAGTTTTAGACCGCAGAGACGGCCCACCGCACGTCCTGCAAGCCTGCGCTGCCCTTGCCAGCTGAGCCCGCTGCCAGCCGCCAGCTCTCCCTCCCACCCCCGGGGGCCGCCTGAATAAAGGTCGTGGGCCACTGCCATCCTTGATGGGACCCCAATTCTGGAACTCCCCACCCTGCTCCTCCTCCTCCCTGGCAGCCAGTCTCCTTCCTCCCCCACTGGGGCCCTCACCTGGTCTCCCACATGCCCCTCCCTCCAGGAAGTCCACCAGGACACCTCCCCTAAAAAACGCGCACGCTGCGTGCCACTCCTCCCAGCCCCTGCAGCAGTAACTGCGCTGTCTCCACGGGGAGCAGCCTCACTGCCCAGTGACCCACCCCGCACGCCTGTCATCCCAGCTACTCAGGAGGCTGAGAGCTAAGCCAGCCTGGACAGACCAATCCAAGAGGCTCTTCAATTAACCAGCACCGGCACTGTGACTCATGTCAAATGCCAGCCATGAGCACAAAAAACCAAGAGCACCAGGTTCTGAGTTCAAGCCCCAGTACACAAACAGGCAGACACACACAGACACACAGACACACACGATTCTCCCCATGCATCTAAAATAGTATCTAGGTAGGGAGGGAAGGGATGGTAGGGGGAAAACAATGGAGGGGGTAACAATGCTCAATAGGAAGTACTCATTGCCTTGCTCAACCCTCTGTACAGTATCTTTACAGATTGTCAGTTTATCAATGTCTGGGGGAGTGACGAGACATTTGATTGGTTAATGTATGAATGCCAGATGAGAAATAAGAAATGGAGAGATTAATCGATAGTGAAAATTAGAGAAATAACTGGCTTTCACCCTTACTTCTCGACTCCGAGTTAGGCCCTCCAAGGATGGCTCAGCTTCAAGTCTCTCAAGCCTGAGACTGGCAGTCTGCTCAGACAGCTGCCGCCATGCGGCAGGGCAGGGCTGAGCACCGGGAGGGGAGAGTATCTTTGTCAGGATTCAAATTGTTTCTACAATAAAAATATACTATACAGGCTGGGAAGTGGCTCAGTGGTAGAGCGCGTGCCTTGCATGCCTGAGGCCCTGGGTTCCATTCCTCAGCACCACATCAGCAGAAAAAGCCAGAAGTGGCGCTGTGGCTCAAGTGGTAGAGTGCTAGCCTTGAGCTGAAGAGCTGAGGGACAGCGCCCAGGCCCAGAGTTCAGGCCCCAGGACCGACCAAAAAATGAATTAAAAAAAAATAAAAAATAAAGTATACATCAGGCTAGATGTAGCTGAAGAGAGAACTAGTAAGCCAGAAGACTCAGGAGAAGAAAATATCCAGACTAGTAAGCCACAGTGATGGGAGATCGTTGGGGTAAAAACTGTGGCGTGTACACAGGCTGCTCCCTGACCAGCTGCGGTGAGGTGGCGCCACGTTCATATCTTCAAGCTGAACTGAGTGTGATCTAAAAGAAAAATTACTGAGAACTTAAGCCAACTCTGGCAAGAATCATGAGACCCCTTCTTCACCAACAGCTAGACATAGTTGCATACAGCAGTTACCCCATGGAAGGAGAAACAGGCTCACGCCGGGACAGGAAGCAAAACCCTCTCCCCCAAGTAACCAGTGCAACACTGACGTAGGCGGAGCGAGCGTGGTGAGGGGCCGTGGGGCAGCCTCCGAGCCACTGGCCAGCCGCGCGCGAGGGGCCAGCCTCCGAGCCACTGGCCAGCCGCGCGCGAGGGGCAGCCTCCGAGCCACTGGCCAGCCGCGCGCGCGGGGCAGCATCCGCTCATCAGTCTGCCCAGCGTGCCGCCTCCGCTGTGCGTCGGAGGGGTCCCCGCTGCGCTTCCACTCTGCAAGGCATCTTGAGTGGGCGTCTGGCTGGGAGCGGGTGCTTGCTCTCTGGCCTCTATGCTGGCTCTGAGGCGCGTGTGCCAGGTCTGGGTGTGATCTCCAGCTCCCTGGGCTCACAGGTGTGGACTTCAGAGCGTGAGAAGGTACACTTCTATGTTTCACCAAATCTGGACACGGCTAGGTCTTTATTTCTTCAACATATTTTTGTGCCAGTCCTGAGGCTTGAACTCAGGGCCTGGATGCCATCCCTGAGCTGTTCTGCTCAAGGCTAAAGCTTTACTACTTGACATAGCTCCCTTTCTGGCTTTTTGGTGGTCATTGATAATCAAAGTCTCACGGACTTTCCTGCCCGTGCTGTCTTTGAACTGCGATCCTCAGGTCTCAGGATTGACTTCTCACAGCCAGCCCAGCCCAGGCCCTGCCAGCGCCTTTCCACACTACAAGCAGAGCTCTCCCCGCCAGGGGACCCCGCCTCTTGGGGATTGTTTTCTGTTGTCTGTCAGGGCCTTGTCTAGGTGGTGCCACTCGTGGTGCAGGAGCAAGGCGCCGGTGCCCACCTTGGAAGCGGAAGCCTGTCTGCCGCTTTTCTGTTTCCTTTGGGATGTTTCTCTGGCTGTCTTCATTAGCCTTCTCAGCGTGAAACCCGCCCCTCTGCAAACCGTCCTGGGCGCACCTCAGCCAGTCTCAGATGTGGGAGTAGAGGGCTGGGGCCAGGGCTGAGGTGGGGGCCAGGGTCAGGGCCGGGCAGGGGTTGGGGTAGGGGCTGGGTCAGGGCAGGGGTCGGGGTCAGGGCTAGGGTTGGGGTAGGGGCTGGGTCAGGGTAGGGGTCGAGGTCATGGCTGGGGTTGGGGTAGGGGCAGGGGTGGGGGGTCTGGGCTAGGGTCAGGGTCGGGGCAGGGGTCGGGGCAGGGGTCGGGGTCGGGGCAGGAGTTGGGGCTGGGGTCAGGGTAGGTGCTGGGTTGGGGCTGGGGTCGGGGTCGGGGTAAGCGCTGGGTCGGGGCAGGGGTCGGGGTCAGGGCTGGGGTCGGGGCAGGGGTTGGGGCAGGGGCAGGAGTTGGGGCTGGGGTCAGGGTAGGTGCTGGGTTGGGGCTGGGGTCGGGGTCGGGGCTGGGGTTGCTGTGACTCAGCTCAGTGATCCTGGCAGCCTTTCACCAGTTCATTCAGGAATCCGATTTAATTGCTGCTGTTTCTCTTAACTCTGGTGGTTTTCTGTTTGTTTTCATGCCTGGTAATCTTATTGAATTTTGTTTGTGGTTTTTGTCAGTTGTGGGGCCTGAACTCTGGGCCTGGGCGCTGTCCCTCAGCTCTTCAGCTCAAAGCTAGCGCTCTACTACTTGAGCCACAGCCGGCTTTTTCTGTGTATGTGGTGCTGAGGAATCGAACCCAGGGCTTCATGGATGTGAGGCAAGCACTCTACCACTGAGCCACTTTCCCAGCCCTTATTAAATTTTTATTCTGAATTAACTATAGGAAGTTGCACCAAGTACCAACAACAACAAAAGGGCAATGTTCCCTGGGGAAAGGCTCCCAATGGGGGCAATGGAGAGAGCTCACAGACGCTCATTTGTGCCTGGGGGTGTGCGTGTGTGTACAATTTCCTCAAACACAGACATGCACAACCCTCCTGCAATCAAAGGTTAGATCCTCCAGGCCCTCCTGCTCCTCTTCTCATTCATCTTTCCTGCTTCCACTGAAAACCAACAATCTGCCTTCTACAATCTTCTCATTGAATGTTATCTTTTTTTTTTTTTTTTGGTCAGTCATGGGGCTTGAACTCTGGGCCTGGGCGCTGTCCATCAGCTCTTCAGCTCAAGGCAAGCCCTCTACCGCTTGAGCCACAGCGCCACTTCCGGTTTTCTAGTGGTTTATTGGAGATAAGTCTCCTGGAGTTCCCTGCCTGGGCTGGCTTTGAACCTTGATCCTCAGATCTCAGCCTCCTGAGTAGCTAGGATGACAGGTGTGAGCCACCGGCACCCAGCTTTTTTTTTTTTTTTTTTTCAGTCATGGGCCTTGAATTCGGCACTGTCCCTGAGCTTTTTTGCTCAAGGAGCACTCTACCACTTTAAGCCACAGCACCACTCACTTCTGGTTTTCTGGTGTTTAATTGGATATAAGAATCTCAGAATTTCCTGCCCAGGCTGGCTTGGGACTGAGATCCTCAGACCTCGGCCTCCTGAGTAACTGGGATGACAGGCAGGCCACCGGCGCCCGGCTGTTATGTCCTTTAGAGGATTGTATGTCATTTGTGAGAGATATGTCATTTGGGGGTGCTACGTTATTTATGGGTTCTATTTAATTTGAGGGGTTGCCATTGGGGGTGCTGTATAATTTGAAGCCAGTAGTGAGGTGGGCCATGTCCAAGCCACCCCTCCCCCAGGCCACCATCTGTGTGCCACGCACACCCTGTGAAACCTGTGCTGGCTGTTCACACTGCTTCCTCCGAGGGATAGCACAGCGTTTTCCTGCATGTGTACATCCTCTGCAGCGACGTTTCTCCTGTCCGCTGCTCACTCTGTGTCTGGCGGCACATTTCATGCGCTGTGGAGACTGGAGAGCTGCTTATGTAGTTAGACGCGTCCTTTGTCACAAGGTGTGTCTGTGCCGTTTCTTCTCAGTAGAATCAATTCCAGAGCAAAAATTTGGGGTTTTGATGAAGTCCAATTTCTTCATTTCCTTTTGTGGTGCCTTTGGTGTTGTATCTAGGAGCGCTTTGCTTTGCTCTAAGCCCCAAAGATTTCCTCCAGTGTTTGTCTAAATGTAAATCTCACGTCTGTGTTGAGCTGCGTTGGTGGGAGGACAAGGTTCATCTCTTGGACTGTGGATGTCCGGCGTCCACAGCATGATGGGTGGGGGTGACGCCCAAGGCCAGCTGCTGCCCCTGTGGCCGCCACCAGGGCCCTGGCCACAAGCCAGTGGGCTCCCCAGGCTACGTCCTTCACCCTCTGCGCCTGGCAGAGTGCATGGTCTCCACCTGTCCGTCCTGGGCGACACTTGGAATCCAAAGGTGGGGGGGGCAGGTCCAGAGCAGTGCCCACAGAAGCAGCAGTGTGTGGCACACAGGGCCTTCCTACCAGGCTCTGCAAGGCCCTGGCACTCCCTCTTGGGGTGAGGTGTAAGGGGGGGGTGTCTACCGGCCGGCCCTGTGTGCGCATGCGCGTGAGTGTGCACGCCGTGGGACAGTCCTAGGCTCGAACTCAGGCCTGGGCGCTGTCCCTGGGCCATGGGCCACCTGCAGCGTATTCTGTTTTTGAGCAGTTTATTGGAGAGAAGAGTCAGCCTTTCCCGCCCCAGCTGCCATCACAGTCTGATCCTCGGTCTCAGCCCCCTGAGTAGCTAGGCTGACAGCCGAGCCACCGGGGGAGCCGGGCGGCTGCGGCCAGACCCACCCGGTTACCGGGCAGGGCCTCCCGAAAGTGGAGGCCTTCCCCAGCCTGCTTCTCGGCCCCGCTCTGGGCCACCGTGGCGCTGGGATGCCAGCTCAGAGCCCGTCCCCGCAGAGCGAGGCCAGGCGGCCCGCGCCGCACGCTGGTGCGGGGCGGAGGAGGGGAGCGAGGGGGGGGACTGCCGCCGCCTCCGCGGGGCGGGGAAGGGGAGCAGGGGAGCCCGCGCTGCGAGGGGCCCGGCCCCGCCACGCCACGCTCCGCCCCGCCCCGCCACGGCCACGCCACTCACGCACCTGCGCGGGGGCGGGGCGGGGAAGGGGAGCCCACGCTGCGAGGGACCCCGCCACGGCCACGCCACTCACGCACCTGCGCGGGGGCGGGGCGGGGAAGGGGAGCCCACGCTGCGAGGGGCCCCGCCCGCGCGCCCCGCCCCGCCCCTCCCCCAGGCCACGCCCCTCCCCCCACTCCCCCAGGCCCCGCCCCCGCCCCGCCCAGGCCACGCCACTCACGCACCTGCGCTGGGGTGCTCCCGTCCTCCGCGTACACCCGCGGGTCCGCGCCCAGCTTCAGAAGCACCTCCACGGCTTCCAGATGGCCCCCGAAGGCCGCGCGGTACAACGGGGACCGGCCGAAGGCGCCCTGCAGGCGGGGCTCCGTGAGCGGGGCCCGGCCCGCGCCGCCCGCCCCCTCCTCGGTGCCCACCTTGCTGTTGGGGCTGGCGCCGAGCTCCGCCAGCAGCTGGATGGCCAAGGGCTGCCCGCCCGCGGCCGCCTCGGACAGCGGCGTGTTCCCGTGGCTGTCCTCGCACTCCACCAAGGCCACGCGCCGCAGCAGCCGCTTGGCCTTGCCCGCCTCGTCGTGGCCCACGCCCTCGCGGGTGAGCAGCTGCTCCACCTGCAAGGAGGCCGCTGGCCAACGCCCGGGCCCCGCCCCCGCCCGGGCCCCGCCCCCGCCCCGGGCCCCGCCCTCGCCCCGGGCCCCGCCCCCGCCCCGGGCCCCGCCCTCGTCCCGGGCCCCGCCCCCGCCCCGGGCCCCGCCCCCGTCCCGGGCCCCGCCCCCGTCCCGGGCCCCGCCCTCGTCCCGGGCCCCGCCCTCGTCCCGCCCCGGGCCCCGCCCTCGTCCCACCCCCGTCCCGCCCCGCCCCCGCTCACTGCCCACGTCCCGCCCCGGGCCCCGCCCTCGTCCCACCCCCGTCCCGCCCCGCCCCCGCTCACTGCCCACGTCTCGCCCCGGGCCCCGCCCTCGTCCCACCCCCGTCCCGCCCCGCCCCCGCTCACTGCCCACGTCTCGCCCCGGGCCCCGCCCTCGTCCCGCCCCCGCTCACTGCCCACGTCCCGCCCCGGGCCCCGCCCTCGTCCCGCCCCCGCTCACTGCCCACGTCCCGCCCCGGGCCCCGCCCTCGTCCCGCCCCCGTCCCGCCCCCGCTCACTGCCCACGTCCCGCCCCGGGCCCCGCCCTCGTCCCGCCCCCGCTCACTGCCCACGTCCCGCCCCGGGCCCCGCCCTCGTCCCGACCCCGTCCCGCCCCGCCCCCGCTCACTGCCCACGTCCCGCCCCGGGCCCCGCCCTCGTCCCGACCCCGCTCACTGCCCACGTCCCGCCCCGGGCCCCGCCCTCGTCCCGCCCCCGCTCACTGCCCACGTCCCGCCCCGGGCCCCGCCCTCGTCCCGCCCCCGCTCACTGCCCACGTCCCGCCCCGGGCCCCGCCCTCGTCCCGCCCCCGCTCACTGCCCACGTCCCGCCCCCGCTCACTGCCCACGTCCCGCCCCGGGCCCCGCCCTCGTCCCGCCCCCGCTCACTGCCCACGTCCCGCCCCCGCTCACTGCCCACGTCCCGCCCCGGGCCCCGCCCTCGTCCCGCCCCCGCTCACTGCCCACGTCCCGCCCCCGCTCACTGCCCACGTCCCGCCCCGGGCCCCGCCCTCGTCCCGCCCCCGCTCACTGCCCACGTCCCGCCCCGGGCCCCGCCCTCGTCCCGCCCCCGTCCCGCCCCGCCCCCGCTCACTGCCCACGTCCCGCCCCGGGCCCCGCCCTCGTCCCGCCCCCGTCCCGCCCCCGCTCACTGCCCACGTCCCGCCCCGGGCCCCGCCCTCGTCCCGCCCCCGTCCCACCCCGCCCCCGCTCACTGCCCACGTCCCGCCCTGGGCCCCGCCCTCGTCCCGCCCCCGTCCCATCCCGCCCCCGCCCCCGCTCACTGCCCACGTCCCCGTCCTGCCCGGCAGGCCCGGCCCCGCTCTGGCCACGCCCCCATTACTCCCGCGTCAGACCACACCCGGGTCCCACCCCGGCCCCGCCCCGGCAGACCACGGCCCCCTCGGCCGCCCACCTCCTTCAGCACGGCCTGGATCTCGTTCAGGTCGCCATCGAAGGCGGCTTCCAGCAGGCGGCGGCGGCGCTGCAGCTCCTCCCGCCGCGCGCGCTCCGCCGCCTCCTCCTGCTCGCGCTGCCGCCGCGCCGCCTCCTGCTCCCGGCGCACCACGGCCAGGTAGGCCTGGGGGTGCGGGCGGCGCGGGGCTCAGCCACCTCCCCCGGGCGGTCCGGGCCGCCCGCCGCCCGCGTCTGCCGCCCGCCGCCCGCCGCCCGCCGCCCGCGTCTGCCGCCCGCCGCCCGCCGCCCGCCGTCCGCGTCTGCCACCCGCCGCCCGCTCGCCCGCCGCCCGCCGCCCGCGTCTGCCGCCCGCCGCCCGCCGCCCGCGTCTGCCGCCCGCCGCCCGCGTCTGCCACCCGCCGCCCGCTCGCCCGCCGCCCGCCGCCCGCCGCCCGCTCGCCCGCCGCCCGCCGCCCGCCCGCCCGCCGCCCGCCGCCCGCTCACTTCCCGCTGCAGCTTCTCCATCTCCTCCAGGTACTCCCGGCGCTCCTGCCGACGGAGGCCCAGCGCCCTCCGGGCCAGGTGCTGCCGGAAGGCGCACTGGATGAGCGTGGCTGCCCGGTCCTCGGCCGTGGGCCCTGCGGTGGGGAGAGGACCCGTGTGCCCCGGCCCTCCTCCGCCGGGCCCCGCCACACAAGCCCCCCACTGACCCCGAGCCCAGGGAGGGAGGCCCCGCGCCGAGGTCGGGCGCAGAGCCCGGGGGAGGCTCCATCTCTATGGAGGGAAGCTGGGCCTGGCGGCCGGCCCGTGACCCCGGGGGCCGGGCTCACGCCTGTCATCCCAGCTACTCAGGAGGCTGAGATCGAGGATTGGCGTTCAAAGCCAGCCCCGGCAGGAACGTCCTTGACACTCATCTCCAATGAACCACCAGAAAAGTCCAAAGCGGAGCTGTGACTCAGGTGGTAGAGCGCTAGCCTTGAGCTTGAAAAGGCTGGGTGCACCCAGGCCTGAGCTCTGGCCCAGTGCTGGCCCAGTACAATACAAATAACCAGTGAAGCACGGGGCTGAGGGCACGGCTCAAGTCACAGCGTTCCAGCCTAGTAAGTAAACACCAGTAAGAGAAAAAAGGCAAAATGTGAACCAGGCCTTGGGCTCCGTGCAGCTGAGACTTGGGCTTCTGCCCGAGCCCGGGAAGCAACACCTCGTATAATGGCACCAAAGCCAGGTGTCCACAAGATCCTGAGGGGCGGGAGTAGCTGGGCATTATTCACAGGACTCTGCTTCCAGACAAGGCAGATTCGGGGCCCAGGCAGCCTTTGCCGCAGCAGCAAGAGGAAAAGGCAAAGTAAACTTTTGCATCCGGGCTAAGGTACTGCAAAGCTATGGAAGGGAGGGTCCGGGGGTCACAGGGACGTGTTGAGAGGGGCCCAGCATGGGCAGGAGGATTTAGTCTGTGGCTGAGCATCGGGGCCCAAAGCAAAAGCTTCAGTGAGCAGCTAACAGACAGCTACTGATAGATCTGAGGAGGAAGGGGCCAAAGTCTGTAATCAGAATTCAGCAAGGCTGAGAGTAGCTCCCGCTAGGACATAATTTGGGAAGATACACTAAGAAAGGTCTTAACATGATATGTCTAAGATGTCACAAAAATGAAAAGTTGAGGCAAAGCGTTGGGAACAATAAATCATCAAATGGTAATTCTACAGTGCAAAGACACAAAACTGGTACAAAGATCAGTGGATGTGTTTAACAGCATAGTAGACATAGCTGAACACAGAATTGGCAATTTGGGACATAACACAAATGATAACATCCAGAATAAAAACATCAAAAGAAAAAATACATAGTTAACTGGAGTTGCATATGGAATGTTAATATTTGAAGATAATTTTTTTTTTTTTTGGGTCCGGTCGTGGGGCCTGAACTCTGGGCCTGGGCACTGTCGCTCAGCTCTTCAGCTCAAGGCTAGCGCTCTACCACTTGAGCCAGAGCACCACTTCCGGCTTTTTTCTTTTTGCTTATGTGGTGCTGAGGAATAGAACCCACGGCCTCAGGCATGCAAGGCAAGCGCTCTACCACTGAGCCACCTTCCTAGCCCTGAAGATAATTTTTGAAAATTCACAAAAGACATCATTCCAGTAGGGTACCCTTGGTGGTTCATGCCCGTATTACTATTTACTTGGGAGACTGAGTTCAGGAGGATCTTAGTTCCAGGCAAGCCCAGGCAGAAAAGTCCATGAGCCGCTGTCTCCACAGGGGAAAGATGGATACAATGGTGCACGCAGGAAGCCTAAAGTAGATGGATCACAGCATAGGCACAGGCCAGAGCAGGAAGTGAGTGCCTTGCTTGTGAACAACCAGCAAGAAGCAGGGCTGGAGGCATGACTCAAGTGATAGAGTGACAGCTTAGCAGACTCAAGGCACCGAGTTCAAACTCTAAATACTCGCTCAAAAATCAAATAATAAAGGCATGGAGTCACCGCTTCAGTATGCATTGGACTCCCACAAGAGATAAATATGTGCAAACACACAAACATGGTACCATTAAGACACAAAAACAAGGAGCCGGGTGCTGGTGGTTCACACCTGTAATCCTACTCAGGAGGCTGAGATCTGAGGATTGAGGTTCAAAGCCAGCCCCGGAAAGTCCATGAGACTCTTATCTCCAATTAACTGCCAGAAAACCGGAAGTGGAGCTGTAGCTCGAAGTGGTAGAGTGTTAGCCTTAAGCGGAAAAAGCTCATGGACAGCACCCAGGCCCTGAGTTCAAGCTCCACAACTGATAAAAAGAAAGTTCAAGCCCCACAACTGAGAAAAAGAAAAGAAAGATTCTGAACTCTAGGGTAACTACCAAAACATTAGTGGGGACCCCAGCTGCTCCCCTGCAGTGTGTGCCACCTGCTTCAACCAAGAGTGTGGCAGAGGTGACAGGATTCCGGAACGCATCATGCCACACTGCACCATGGGAGAGACTGCCTGTCAGCCCACTGCCTTCCCGCCTTACAGAAGTAGAGGCCATGATGGAGAGTTCATGGGTCACAACAGTGCACAGCCCCTAAGACCAAGCATGGCTGGTTCCTGCAAAATGCTCAGCAACCTGGTGCAACGTCAAAGAAATGATTAGATGAGCCACAGCCCCAACTGAGGTGGAGATTACAGGCTCTGAGTGTAGGACGCAGTAGGCTATACCCGGCCCTGGTCCACCAGCACCACAGTCTCGTCAGTGTGTCCTGTTCTCAGTGACTGGTGTGTGGTGATGTGCCATGCATTCAGAGAAAAGGAAAAGGTGGGAAAAGTCAAGAAAATAGTGTATGATCAAAACAGAAAGGTTGCTGGGCACTGGTGGCTCATGCCTGCCATCCTAGCTACTCAGGAGGCTAAGAACTGAGCACTGCAGTTCAAAGCCAACCTGAGCAGGAAAGTCTATGAGACTTTTATCTCCAATAAACTACTCAGAGAAAGCTGGATGTGGCCCTGTGGCTCAAGTCGTAGAGCGCTAGCCCTGAACACAAAGAAGCTCAGGGACAGCGCCCAAGCCCCAGGACTGGCAAAAAAAAAAAAATCCCCACAAAACCTCAGAAAGGTCAAAAGCACGATATAAGACCTAAAAAGAATCCTCTGGAACTAAAAGTTACAATTACTGAGATAAAAAATTCCCTAGATTTGAGTAGAAGGGTGTCAGAAACAGAAGTAAAACTGGAAAATGGCCAGAACTGTGGCTTTGAGAGTGGTGCTTTGGTTTTTGGTTTTATAAGGGACTGAAGTCAGGGCCTGGGTGCTGCACTCACCCCAAGAACTTTTAGTTTGTTTGTTCAGATAGGGTCTGAAGTTAATGCTGCCCTTGAATTACAATCTTTCTACATCTACTGGCCAAGTAGCTGGGATTACAGGTGTGCACCACCATGCCCACTTAAAATTGTGGAACTAGATCAAAGAAGAAATGATAAAAGAAGTTAGAAAATACTTAGGAATAAAAATACAATACACCATAATACAACAAACCTTATGGGATACAGCGAAAGCTATGTTGAGAGGGAAATTATAGGTACAAAGGCTCACATTAAGCAAAAAAGATCTTTAGTCAAGAACTTGAGCAGGGTGCCGGTGGCTCACACCTGCAATCCTAGTTACTTAAGAGGCTGAGATCTGAGGATCACAATTCAAAGCCAGCTCAGGCAGGAAAGACTGTAAGACTCTTATCTCCAATAAATCATTCAGAAAACTGGAAGTGGTGCTGTGGCTCAAATGGTAGAGCGCTAGCCTTGAGCTGAAGAGCTGAGGGACAGCGCCCAGGCCCAGAGTTCAGGCTCCATGACCAAAACAAAACAAAACAAAAAAACTCGAGGAACTAAGAAAAAAGCTAAAGCCCAAATTTATCAGAAGAAAAAGACTAGAGCAAAGATTAGTGACATAGAGGGTAGAAATAACACAGAAAACCAAGCCAGATGCCAGTGGCTTGTTCCTGTATGTCTAGCCACTCAGGAGGCTGAGATCTGAGGACCCACACTTGAAACCAGACCAGGCAATAAAGATCATGATACTCCTTTTTTTTTTTTTTCTAGTCCTGGGGCTTGACCTCAGGGCCTGGGCACTGTCCCTGAGCTGCTTTTGCTCAAGGCTAGCGCTCTACCACTTGAACCACAGAGCCACTTCTGGCTTTCTCTGTGCATATTGTACTGAGAAATTGAACCCAGGGCTCATACATGCTAACTAAGCAAGCACTCTACCACTAAGCCACAGTACCAGCCCCATGACACTCTAATCTCCAGTTAACTACCAAAAAGCCAGAAGTGGAGCTGTGGCTCAAGTGGTAGAGCACCAGTCTCAAACTAAAAAGCTCAGGGACAGCAACCAGGCCCTGAGGTTAACACCGACAGCTAGATCAGCAGACAAATTTGACAGACTTTTTTTTTTTTTTTAAGTCGGTCATGGGGCTTGAACTCTGGGCCTGGGCGCTGTCCCTGTGCTCTTCAGCTCAAGGCTAGCGCTCTACTGCTTAAGCCACAGCACCACTTCCGGTTTCCTACTGGTTTTATTGGAGACAAGAGTCTCACAGACTTTCCTGCCTGGGCTGGCTTTGAACCGAGATCCTTAGATCTCAGCCTCCTGAGTAGCTAGAATTACAGGTGTGAGCCACCGGCGCCTGGCAATTTGACAGACTTTTATCTTCATTTAACCAGCAAAAAGCCAGAAATAGAGGCGTGACTCAGGTGGCAGAGCACTGTCCTGAGTGAAAAAGCTAAGCAAGAACATGAGGCCCTGAATTTGAGGGCAAAGAAAGACAAGAAATAATAAGGCTGATGAAACAAAAAGTTGTTTCTTTAAAAAGATCAACAAAATCGACAAGCTTTTAACTAAATGGACAAAGAAAAAGACACAAGTTACTAAAATCAGAAAGGAAAGTGGGGATGTACCATGGATTTTACAAGAAAGAAGGACCATTAGGGCGAGGGATGCGTAGGGTTCACACCTGTGATTCCCAGCACCAGGCAGGCTGAGGCAGAAGGACTGAACTCAAGGCCAGTAGCTCAAGGCTACATAGTGAGATCCTGTCTCAAAAGTAGAGCAAGAACTCCGGGCAGAGGCTCACGCCTGTCATCCTAGCTACTGAGGAGGCTGAGATCTGAGGATTGTGGTTCAAAGCCAGCCCAGACAGAAAAGTCCTTTAGACTCTTATCTCCAATAAACCACTAGAAAACTGGAAGTGGTGCTGTGGCTCAACCAGTAGAGCACTTGCCTTGAACTGAAGAGCTGAAGAACAGCGTCCAGGCCCAGAGTTCAAGCCCCAGGACCAGGAAAAGAAGAAGGAAGAGGAGGAGGGGAGGGGGGCGTTGAGGTTGATTGAGATACACTGTATACCTGTGTGGAAATGCCACAAGGAAACCCCCTTTGTGAAACTAATGTATATTGATACAAAAGAAAATCATGCATACTCATGCCTTTATTAGCGTACATTGCTCCTTCCCTATCTCTACTCTAGCTGTAACCCTTGGGTGTGGAGAAACTAGTTTGTAAAGAAAGTTTCCTCAGGGCTGGGAAGGTGGCTCAGTGATAGAGCGCTTGCCTTGCATTCATGAAGCCCTAAGTTTGATTCCTCAGCACCACATAAGCAGAAAAAGCCGGAAGTAGCGCTGTGGCTCAAGTGGTAGAGCGCTCTCCTTGAGCTGAAGAGCTGAGGGACAGCGCCCAGGCCCAGAGTTCAGACCGACAAAAAAAAAATTCCTCTTCTCCAATAATGAATAAAGGCTTTCTTTCTTTATTCCTCCCCCTCGCCCTCATTAAAAAAAAAAAAAGCAACACAAAAAGCCTGAACACCATGGTTCATCAGTAAATTCTTTTATTTTTCTTTCTTTCCTTTGTTTTTGTTTTTAATTATTTTTGTTTTGTCCTGGGGATTGAACCCGGGGCTTGGGTGCTGTCCCTGAGCTTTTTGTGTTTAAGGCTAGCTCTTTACCACTTGAGCCACAGCTTCATTTCTGGCAATTTGGTGATTAATTGGAGATAAGATTCTCGTGGACTTTCCTCCCAGGGCTGGCTTTGAACCTCAATCCTCGTATCTCAGCTTCCTGAATCGCTAGGATCACAGGCGTGAGCCACTGGCCCCTCGCTAAGAATCTTGAGGAAACAGTGAAGGAAGCAATGCCAGTCCTTGTCCTCAACTTTCCAGTAAGCTGAAGAGGAAGGACTATGTCCTAACTCCTTCTTTGAGGCCAACATTATCTGATCCAAAGCCAAACACAGACCAAGGCCTCTTACGAGCACTGGGGAAAAATTCCTCAGACAGACACTACCACACCACATTCAGCAGCACACTGAAAGAATTCAACACCATTACCAAGTAGAATTTATTCCTGGCGTGAAAGGACAGTTTAACATCTAAGAATTAACCAACGTGAAAACTGTATTAATAGATGAAGGAAAAAGCCAAATGATTGCCTCAATTCATACATAAAGAGCATTTGATAAAATTGAACACTTTTTGCGCGCACGCACACGCGCGCATACACACACACACACACACACACACACACACACACAAATTTCAGCAAACTAGAAGTCCAAAAAGGCCGGGTGCTAGTGGCTCTCTTCTGTAATTCTAGTTACTCAAGAGGCTGAGATCCGAGGATCACAGTTCAAAGCCAGCCCAGGCAGAAAAGTCCATTAAATTCTTATCTTCAGAGTACCAGCCTTGTGAAAAAAAAATGCTAAGGGACAGTGTTCAGCCCCAGTACAGCGCGCCCGCGCACACACACACACACACACACACACACACACACACACACACACACACAAAGTAGCAGGAAACATCCTCAGCCTGATGAAAGGCAATTACTCACTCCAGGGTGAAAGATTGAAAGCTTTCCCTTTAAGGGGGAAAGTAAAGCTGGGTGGGGTGGCTCACAACTGTAATCCCAGCTACCTGGGAGGTACAGATCAAAGGATCATGGTTCAAGGCCTTCCTGGCAAAAGGAGACTCCTATCTCAACCAACAAGGCAGTATGGAGGCTGGGGCTATGGTTCCAGGATGTAGGAGGTGTATACAGGAAGACTGTAGGGACAGCCTGGCCCCCGGCAAACGTATCAGACTCTAGCTGAAACATAACTCAAGCATCAAATGGGCTGGGGGTGTGGCTCAAGTGATAGAGTGCCAGCCTAGCAAGCACAAGGCCCTGAGTTCAAATCCCAGCATCCCCTCCAATAAAAGGGGGAAGATGGCTGCTTTCACCTCTTCTGCTTAACACAGAACTGGAAATCTCTGCTGGAACAATCAAGTAAGGAAAGGAAAAAGAAAAAGTAAAATATCTCCATTGTATCTAGAAAACTCTAAATATATAACCAATATGTGCTGGAACTAATACACAGCTTTAGCAAAATGTCAACAGCAGGAGTCTCTGTCTGTAGACGGGAAGACAACAGTGTAGCACTGTGGCCAGTGCCTTGGCCGACGGAGGGAGGTCATTGTGGAAGGAGGCCAGTGGTGTGTGACGTAGCCTCCTCCTTCCCCTCAGAGAGTGACCCGTGGGAGCCGAGCTTCCCTGGACACCAATGTGAAGTCTTGGGGAGCCCTGGTCTGCGCGCGTCTTCCTCACGCGCACTGGACCGTCCTTTGCAAGGACGGATCACCAATGGTGGAAGTGGAACTACAGGAAACTAAACTGGTGGCAAGCATGACCTACTGACCAGAGCGGACGGTGACGGCAGACAGTCCTGGCGCCCGCTGGGCAGCTGCTGAGGTAGCAAGTGCTGTCCTCCTGCCTGGAGAGCCAAAAGCTGCTCACCTCCACACGCACCTGCTCTCCTCCAGGGACTCCTCACAGCCTGGTTCACAGACACCAGGCTCCCCAGAAACTCTGCGTGTGTCAGGGTATGCAGCGAGGGCCGGCTTCTGCCTTTGTTAGCTTTCGGAACCCTTCCCAGACACTCGAGTCACGTAACCTTGAGCAATCCTGCACGTCCTCTCCTCTGCTCCCGCATCTTCCCCTTCGTTCCTGCCCTGTGCTGCCGTGGATGGCCTGGATGATGCGAGACCATCTCTTCATCTTTAGTCCAGCTGACTAGCTACCTCAATCCATGCACATCTGTGATTCTGGGCACCCCGAGCAGGCAGGGCTGCTCTGCCCGAGGCCCGCCTGGCCAGAGAAGTGACCTGCAAGGCAGGGGCTGGCGGTGCACAGTGTCCCGCTGGCCTCCACGGCTCCATCCTGAGCCACCAGAGGCTGGCCCCCCCACCAGGGTTTCCCGCACAGCAGGAACACGCGGGGAGGTCAGGACAGCTGGTGAGAGGCCTCTGCAGTCTGCCCCTTCCGGGTGCTCGGGCCAGCCCCACTGAGTCTCTGTGCTCTCTGCCTCCAGGCTGTCTCCAGCACCAGGAAGAGGGAGGGTCCCGCAGCCCCTTGGCCTATTGCACCCTGCCCTGTCCAGAGCGAAGCTGCGCAAAAGTCAGGACGCACAGACCCAGGCGAGGCCCAGCCTGCCCCAGGCCCTGGGAGGTCCATGGGGATGTGCCCTGACACCAAGACCAGAGATGAGGCCAGCCGGGAGGACGCAGAGCCCGAGGGAGGGCAGGAGGTGTTGGGGAGAGGCAGAGCTGGGGGGGATGCAGCACTGGGGGACTGGGCAGCACCGGGCACTGAGCACAGGGCACCAGCGGGCAGGCAGGGGGCGGGGCGGGGCAGCCCGGGGGCTGCCCAGGCCAGGCCTCTTTCAGGCCACCAGAGGGCAATGCGCAGCGCCTGGGCGCACTCCAGTTTCGCGCATGTGTCCCAGGCGTGGACGCGTGTTCTTGCTCTTGTGCACACACCTGGCTTCCGTACTAGCCTGGCCCAGGGTGGTGCCTTTCTTGCTTCCCCCCCCCACACACACAGAAGCAGGGTTCCAAGGCTCTTACCTGCAGGAGCCTCGGGGCTCTCGGGCTCCTTTGCCTGCCGGCCTGCCTTCTTCTGGGGCTGGCTGCTCTCTCCTGGTCTCCCTGGGAGAAAGTGGCAGCCATGTCAGGGTGTCAGACTCCCCCACTCCCCATTAACCCTGGGAGGCTTCTGGGACACTAACGCGGCCGCCGAGCCTCAGCCACTCGGGAGCTCCCCAGGCAGCAGGCAGCCCACGCAGGCCGCTCAAATGAGCCGCGGGTCCTCTTCCCTGAGCACCCAGAGGGACCACCGGCCACGTGGGCCCCTGGGCGGGATGTTGCTGGCCCTGCTGGGATGACCATGCTGGCCAGCTCCTCCCCGTCCATCTCCACTTCCGGCCCCCACTCTGCTTCTTCTCTGTCCAACTAGTGCTCCCAGGTAGGTGCTCCCCCCGGGCCAGGATGAGCAGAGGGGTGTGCGCTGTGCAGGGCCGGGCAGGGCAAACCAGTCCAGCCAGTGCGGCTGGGATGGGCCCTGGGTGTGGATGTGAGTCAGCCCCGGCCAGGGGCTGGAGCATGGCTTCCCAACTGGAAGCCTGGGAAGGCTCGCTTGGTGCTGGCCCCAGCCCCCTACCCTGGCACCCAAAGGCTGGCCAGGGCCCCGTGGGCCTCGATTCAGTGGGCAGAGGAGTGGCCTCCTAATGAGACCACAGCAAGCGCCCGGGCCTGGGGGCAGGCTGGACTTTTCCCTCCTTCCCCACCCTTCCTCAAAATGCTGCTCGGCCTTCAGAGCCTGGGGGCAGGGGGCTTCACCTGGTCACTGTGCGGCCTGAGTTCTTGGCTCTGCTGGCCCACGGGGCCCCAGCAGGGCCCCTCCCAGTGCAATGCCCGGGAGCGGCCTGAAGACCCGCTCCAGGTGGGCCGTGGCACCCACGGCCAGTGAGGGTCTGAACCTGATGGCCAGTGAGACCCGGATGAAGTTCCTAGCTCTGTGGCCCCAGTTTGAGTTTCGCGGGAGCAGGGCTGGCGGGGCGGGGAGTGGGGGGTGCCACCCGGGCAGGACTGGGCATGCTGCTGCCGTCTAGGTGCCGAGAGAGCCGCCTCCGGTTTCTCCGTCTCCTTCCCAGTCTGGCCAGTGAGGCCCGTGGCCCGTAAAGTCCGGCGCCCTGTGTCAGCGCGTTAGTCAGCCTTCTGGGCCGGGTGAGCCACCGGCCGCCGAGTCTCTATAAACTGCCTGGCGTGGCTCAGCCCCACAGAGCGGGGCCGTGAGGCCTGAGGCAGAGCCAGGCCGGGAGCCTCCGCACCTCGGGCGGGCCCGTAGGACAGCCGGGGCTGAGCGCGGACGTGGCCAGGGAGCAGGTTGCCCACCGCAGCCTCTGGATGCCCCCTGAGCTGCGTGAGGTGACCGTGGATGAGCCGGGCCCCAGGAAGCAGACACACCTGGCCAAGGAGGCGCCGGATCCAGGGCCATGTCTGGAAAACGAGGTCGAGCTCGCAAACCCCGGGGCAGAAGGGCAGGCCGAGCCCAGAGGGCGGCTGGGCAACCGGGCACTGAGGCCCGTCCCCCACCCCCTGCCACAGGGGGCCCTCGGGACCCGACGGGGGTGGCCCCCACAGAGCACGTGACCAGCACCCAGCCAGGCCCCCAGGCACACCTCAAAGTGGCCAGGTCAGAGCAGCCACAGGCAGCCCCGGGGCCGGTGCAGGCGGCCGCTGCAGGACCTGAGCTGGCACTGGCCTGGCCTGAACACATGGAGGGCTGGGGAGCAGGGGGGCCCACGCCTGCCCTGGGCCCAGAGCTGCTGCGGCTCCATGAGGTCCAGCTGTGCCTGGCCCAGGAACAGATGCTGCTGGAAGACCGGCGGCGACAGGTCCAGCTGCAGATGCAGCTGTGGCAGGAGCAGCAGCCGTGGCTGCAGGAGCTGCAGGAGGAGCAGCTGTGGCTGCAGCAGCTGCAGGAGGAGCAGCTGTGGCTGCAGCAGCTGCAGGAGGAGCAGGCCTGGGTGCGCATGGAGGGGTTGCAGCTGGCCGTGGCACTGGGGCAGCTCCGGACCGAGGGCCTCGAGGTGCAGGTAAGGCCTGGAGAGGGCTCGGGGAGGGGCGTGGTGGCCAGGGCACCGGAGCGTCCCGCAGATGTGCGCTTTGAGGTCAGGATGGTTTCAGGTGCTCTGTGGGCCTTTGTTTACCCATGCTAAGGGAGGCTGACACTCACCCCCCAACACTGCCAAGACTGCCAGGAAGATCATGGGGGCAGAGACCACTGAGGGAAGGCACTTGTGTGGGGCCAGGGGGCCAGGACACGCAGCCACAGGAGCTGTCCAGGGAGGATGCAGGTGAGGGCTGGGGGTGAGCCTGGTCCACACAGCAGGGAGGCAGCAACGCAGAAGAGCACGGCCTCCCACCCTGGCCAGCTCTCGCCCTGCCGCCTCCCACCCTGGCCAGCTCCTCGCCCTGTTTACTGCACGCAGCACCCAGAGCTTGGGATCCCGAGGCAGCACGCCATGTCTGGTGCCCATTATCCTCATTCCAGGAGGACGGGTGGCCTCAGACGCGGCTGGGGCTATTTTGGGCAATTAGGAGCCAACCTCAGCTTGGTGTGCAGTCAGCTCCACCCCCCCAGCTCAGGGTCTCACGGCCTAGGCCAGGCCCACTACATGACTGGGCCGGGGCCTAGACAGATGCCCTATGGGGTGTGCACAGGGTCTCTGCAGGCTGAGCAGACAGCTCAAGAGATACACCTGGAAGGTGTTTGCAGCTGTGACTGGAGGAATGCAGCTCAGGCCCGGCACAGGTGGCTCACACCTGTCATCCTAGCTACTCAAGAGGCTGAGATCTGAGGGTTCAAAGCTGGCCCAGGCAGGAAAGTCATGATACTCCATGATACTCATCTCCAATTAACCACTCAAAAAAAAAAAAAAAAAGCAAATGGAGCTGTGGCTCAAGTAGTAGAGCATTAGCCTTGAGCATGAAGAGGCTCAGGGACAGCGCCCAGGCCCTGAGTTCAAGTCCCACCATCACCACAACAACAAAAGCCAAGGCAGGGAGGAGATAACTGTTGAAGGGAGGGGGAGGCGCCCGGCCCAGCCCCCAGCAGGACACAACCTGGCATTTCACTTTGACATGCTTTGGAGAAGGTGGCCTGAGGGCAACGCAGCAGACAGAGCAGGCGTGGGGTCTGAGTGGATGGCAACTTAGCCTGCTGCCCAGTGTGGATCTAAGCCCTAGTCTTTCAAACCTACTGGGCCACCTACTGGGACCCTCTGCCCCTCTTCCCACCTTCAGGGGCCCTAAAGCTGTGCAGCCACATCAGCCCCGGGAACCCAGGGCTCAGGGCCCCGGGCAGCGTAAGCACAAATCAGAGCTCCGAAGCATTAGCCTACCACAGCCAACTGGGAGACCCCTTGAAGATAGCTCTCAGGGAGGTGCTCCAAGGGGCCCCGCCCTGCCCGTGGTGGGCACACTGGTCAGTGTTGGCTCAGAGGTGCACTCACCGGCTGCAGCTCGTGGCTTCGGTCCAGCAGGTGCTGTCTGCCCCTTCTTCGATGCAGCTTTTGGGCCCCCCTTCCTACTGCTCATCCTCCTGGGAGAGGGAGGAGGCACTCAGCAGGGCAGAGGACCGTCCACGCACGCCGCTGTGGTCCTGGCTGAGCGATCAGCAGGAACATGTGCTCCCAGCCCTCGTTTGCTCCACAAGTGCCTGGCAGCAGGGCCGGGGCTCTTGGCCAGAGCGTGCCATCCCTCTGCGGAGATGTGCCTGTCCCAGTCCCCAGGACGGGGTCTGTCCTGGAGCCCGGCCCCCCCCACCTCAGCTTCTCTCTGGCCCTGACCTTGATAGATGCTGTGGTCAGGTCCTGAACCAGCAGCCTTCTCGTTGAGAATCACCCCAAAGTTCCTTTTCTCTGGGGGCTCCCCACCTCCACTTGTTCCAGGCTGGGTCAGATCCTCCCTGTTTGGAATGGGGGCGGGGTGTGTGTGTGTGTGTGTGTGTGTGTGTGTGTGTAAGGACCTCTTGAAAACAGGGCCATGACGGCCAGGGCATGGGCACGGAGGGGACTGGAGTCTGGCTGGCAGGAAAGGGGGAGGGGCAGGTGGCTGCTACAGAGGGCCTGGTGGAAGGTGGCAGGCTCAGCCTTGGGGCATCTGAGGCTTCCACGGGCAAACTGGGGGTGATACATGTGTGTTTGGTGTGTGCTCAGCAGGGCTGGAATGGGCAAGGCTCCGGGTGAGGGACCCGGTGAGACCTGGATGGCCGAGTGTGTGTCAGGGAGGCATCCTTGTGCCTTCAGTGTCTGGGCGTGCATCCCGTGTCAGTGGGGTCCCCGTCTGCTGGGGACAGGAGGTGAGTGGTCAGCTTGAGGGGTTCTCGGTGCATCTGTGTGAGCATCTTGCACACGTGAGCATCTCCATGTGTGAGTCTCCGTGTGTGAGCGTCTCTGTGAGCGTCTCCCGTGTGAGGGTCCCCGCGTGTGAGGGTCCCCGCGTGTGAGGGTCCCCGCGTGTGAGGGTCTCCCGTGTGAGGGTCCCCGCGTGTGAGCGTCTCCCGTGTGAGCGTCTCCCGTGTGAGCGTCCCCGCGTGTGAGCGTCTCCCGTGTGAGCGTCCCCGCGTGTGAGCGTCTCCCGTGTGAGCGTCCCCGCGTGTGAGCGTCCCCGCGTGTGAGCGTCCCCGCGTGTGAGGGTCCCCGCGTGTGAGCGTCTCCCGTGTGAGGGTCCCCGCGTGTGAGCGTCTCCCGTGTGAGCGTCCCCGCGTGTGAGCGTCTCCCGTGTGAGGGTCCCCGCGTGTGAGCGTCTCCCGTGTGAGCGTCCCCGCGTGTGAGGGTCTCCCGTGTGAGGGTCCCCGCGTGTGAGCGTCTCCCGTGTGAGGGTCCCCGCGTGTGAGGGTCTCCCGTGTGAGCGTCTCCCGTGTGAGGGTCTCCCGTGTGAGCGTCCCCGCGTGTGAGCGTCTCCCGTGTGAGCGTCTCCCGTGTGAGCGTCCCCGCGTGTGAGGGTCCCCGCGTGTGAGCGTCTCCCGTGTGAGCGTCTCCCGTGTGAGCGTCCCCGCGTGTGAGGGTCCCCGCGTGTGAGCGTCTCCCGTGTGAGCGTCTCCCGTGTGAGCGTCCCCGCGTGTGAGCGTCTCTGTGAGCGTCTCCCGTGTGAGCGTCTCCCGTGTGAGGGTCTCCCGTGTGAGCGTCTCCCGTGTGAGCGTCCCCGCGTGTGAGCGTCCCCGCGTGTGAGGGTCTCCCGTGTGAGGGTCCCCGCGTGTGAGCGTCCCCGCGTGTGAGGGTCTCCCGTGTGAGGGTCCCCGCGTGTGAGGGTCTCCCGTGTGAGGGTCCCCGCGTGTGAGGGTCTCCCGTGTGAGGGTCCCCGCGTGTGAGCGTCTCCCGTGTGAGCGTCTCCCGTGTGAGCGTCCCCGCGTGTGAGCGTCTCTGTGAGCGTCTCCCGTGTGAGCGTCTCCCGTGTGAGCGTCTCCCGTGTGAGGGTCTCCCGTGTGAGCGTCCCCGCGTGTGAGCGTCTCTGTGAGCGTCTCCCGTGTGAGCGTCTCCCGTGTGAGCGTCTCCCGTGTGAGGGTCTCCCGTGTGAGCGTCTCCCGTGTGAGCGTCCCCGCGTGTGAGCGTCCCCGCATGTGAGGGTCTCCCGTGTGAGGGTCCCCGCGTGTGAGCGTCCCCGCGTGTGAGCGTCTCCCGTGTGAGGGTCTCCCGTGTGAGGGTCCCCGCGTGTGAGGGTCCCCGCGTGTGAGGGTCCCCGCGTGTGAGCGTCCCCGCGTGTGAGCGTCCCCGCGTGTGAGCTTCTCCCGTGTGAGGGTCCCCGCGTGTGAGGGTCTCCCGTGTGAGCGTCCCCGCGTGTGAGGGTCCCCGCGTGTGAGGGTCTCCCGTGTGAGGGTCCCCGCGTGTGAGCGTCTCCCGTGTGAGCGTCTCCCGTGTGAGCGTCCCCGCGTGTGAGGGTCCCCGCGTGTGAGCGTCCCCGCGTGTGAGGGTCTCCCGTGTGAGGGTCCCCGCGTGTGAGCGTCCCCGCGTGTGAGGGTCTCCCGTGTGAGCGTCCCCGCGTGTGAGCGTCTCCCGTGTGAGCGTCTCCCGTGTGAGCGTCCCCGCGTGTGAGGGTCCCCGCGTGTGAGCGTCCCCGCGTGTGAGGGTCTCCCGTGTGAGCGTCCCCGCGTGTGAGCGTCTCCCGTGTGAGGGTCCCCGCGTGTGAGCGTCTCCCGTGTGAGGGTCCCCGCGTGTGAGCGTCCCCGCGTGTGAGGGTCCCCGCGTGTGAGCGTCCCCGCGTGTGAGGGTCTCCCGTGTGAGGGTCCCCGCGTGTGAGCGTCTCCCGTGTGAGCGTCCCCGCGTGTGAGCGTCTCCCGTGTGAGCGTCCCCGCGTGTGAGCGTCTCCCGTGTGAGCGTCCCCGCGTGTGAGCGTCTCCCGTGTGAGGGTCCCCGCGTGTGAGGGTCTCCCGTGTGAGGGTCTCCCGTGTGAGGGTCTCCCGTGTGAGCGTCTCCCGTGTGAGCGTCCCCGCGTGTGAGCGTCCCCGCGTGTGAGGGTCTCCCGTGTGAGGGTCCCCGCGTGTGAGCGTCCCCGCGTGTGAGCGTCTCCCGTGTGAGGGTCCCCGCGTGTGAGGGTCCCCGCGTGTGAGGGTCCCCGCGTGTGAGGGTCCCCGCGTGTGAGCGTCCCCGCGTGTGAGGGTCCCCGCGTGTGAGCTTCTCCCGCGTGAGGGTCCCCGCGTGTGAGGGTCTCCCGTGTGAGCGTCCCCGCGTGTGAGGGTCCCCGCGTGTGAGGGTCTCCCGTGTGAGGGTCCCCGCGTGTGAGCGTCTCCCGTGTGAGCGTCTCCCGTGTGAGCGTCCCCGCGTGTGAGGGTCCCCGCGTGTGAGCGTCTCCCGTGTGAGGGTCCCCGCGTGTGAGCGTCTCCCGTGTGAGGGTCCCCGCGTGTGAGCGTCCCCGCGTGTGAGGGTCCCCGCGTGTGAGCGTCCCCGCGTGTGAGGGTCTCCCGTGTGAGGGTCCCCGCGTGTGAGCGTCTCCCGTGTGAGCGTCCCCGCGTGTGAGCGTCTCCCGTGTGAGCGTCCCCGCGTGTGAGCGTCTCCCGTGTGAGCGTCCCCGCGTGTGAGCGTCTCCCGTGTGAGGGTCCCCGCGTGTGAGGGTCCCCGCGTGTGAGCGTCTCCCGTGTGAGGGTCCCCGCGTGTGAGCGTCTCCCGTGTGAGGGTCCCCGCGTGTGAGGGTCCCCGCGTGTGAGGGTCCCCGCGTGTGAGGGTCCCCGCGTGTGAGCGTCTCTGTGAGCGTCTCCCGTGTGAGGGTCCCCGCGTGTGAGCTTCTCCCGTGTGAGGGTCCCCGCGTGTGAGGGTCCCCGCGTGTGAGGGTCCCCGCGTGTGAGCGTCCCCGCGTGTGAGGGTCCCCGCGTGTGAGCGTCCCCGCATGTGAGCGTCTCCCGTGTGAGCGTCCCCGCGTGTGAGCGTCTCCCGTGTGAGGGTCCCCGCGTGTGAGCGTCCCCGCGTGTGAGGGTCCCCGCGTGTGAGCGTCCCCGCATGTGAGCGTCTCCCGTGTGAGCGTCCCCGCGTGTGAGCGTCTCCCGTGTGAGCGTCTCCCGTGTGAGCGTCCCCGCGTGTGAGCGTCTCCCGTGTGAGGGTCCCCGCGTGTGAGGGTCCCCGCGTGTGAGCGTCTCCCGTGTGAGCGTCCCCGCGTGTGAGCGTCCCTCCGTGTGAGGGTCCCCGCGTGTGAGCGTCCCCGCGTGTGAGCGTCTCCCGTGTGAGCGTCCCCGCGTGTGAGCGTCTCCCGTGTGAGGGTCCCCGCGTGTGAGCGTCCCCGCGTGTGAGGGTCTCCCGTGTGAGCGTCCCCGCGTGTGAGCGTCTCCCGTGTGAGGGTCCCCGCGTGTGAGCGTCTCCCGTGTGAGCGTCCCCGCGTGTGAGCGTCCCCGCGTGTGAGGGTCCCCGCGTGTGAGGGTCTCCCGTGTGAGCGTCCCCGCGTGTGAGCGTCTCCCGTGTGAGCGTCCCCGCGTGTGAGGGTCTCCCGTGTGAGCGTCCCCGCGTGTGAGCGTCTCCCGTGTGAGGGTCCCCGCGTGTGAGGGTCTCCCGTGTGAGCGTCCCCGCGTGTGAGCGTCCCCGCGTGTGAGGGTCTCCCGTGTGAGCGTCTCCCGTGTGAGGGTCCCCGCGTGTGAGGGTCCCCGCGTGTGAGGGTCTCCCGTGTGAGCGTCTCCCGTGTGAGGGTCCCCGCGTGTGAGGGTCCCCGCGTGTGAGCGTCTCCCGTGTGAGCGTCTCCCGTGTGAGCGTCTCCCGTGTGAGGGTCCCCGCGTGTGAGGGTCTCCCGTGTGAGCGTCTCCCGTGTGAGGGTCCCCGCGTGTGAGGGTCTCCCGTGTGAGCGTCCCCGCGTGTGAGCTTCTCCCGTGTGAGGGTCCCCGCGTGTGAGCGTCTCCCGTGTGAGCGTCTCCCGTGTGAGGGTCCCCGCGTGTGAGCTTCTCCCGTGTGAGGGTCCCCGCGTGTGAGCGTCTCCCGTGTGAGGGTCCCCGCGTGTGAGCGTCTCTGTGAGCGTCTCCCGTGTGAGGGTCCCCGCGTGTGAGCTTCTCCCGTGTGAGGGTCCCCGCGTGTGAGAGTCCCCGCGTGTGAGGGTCTCCCGTGTGAGCGTCTCCCGTGTGAGGGTCCCCGCGTGTGAGCGTCCCCGCGTGTGAGCGTCTCCCGTGTGAGCGTCCCCGCGTGTGAGCGTCTCCCGTGTGAGCGTCCCCGCGTGTGAGCGTCTCCCGTGAGTCTGGCCCTCTGAGTGCACGAGGACCCTCGGTCCGCCCGGTCGGCCCTGCGTGCGGGGCGCAGGCGGGAGCCGGCCTGGGAACGGCGGGGGTGCGGGCGCCGCGTGGCGGGCCCCTCCGTGCGTCCCGGCCGGCCCTGCCCGGCCCGGCGCCCGCCCGCCTCGCCCCGCCCCGCCCCGCCGGCCTCACCTGCCCGGCCGCGGCGGCACACGCCCCGCCTCGCGTCAGGCCGCGTCTCCTAGCGACCGAGCCGGAACTTCCGAGGCGACCCGACTTCCGGGGCGGGGGTCAGGGGTCAGCGTTGGGGGGTCGGGCTAGGGGGTCTGGCCAGGGTCCTCCTGCGTCCGGCTCGCCGTGGGCGCAGGGGCTCGGGGTCTAACAAGTAGGGCCCCGGAGGCTCGGGCGACCCCGGTCGCGGGCCAGGGGTCCCCGGCGTGGGGCGCCGGCGCGGGCCGGGGGGCGCGGGGTCCCGCGCGGGGGGGGGCGGGGTCAGGCCGGGGTCCCGCGCGGCGGGGGGGGCGGGCCGGGGTCCCGCGCGGCGGGGGGGGTCAGGCCGGGGTCCCGCGCGGCGGGGGGGTCGGGCCGGGGTCCCGCGCGGCGGGGGGGCGCGCAGGAATGCGGGCGCGCCGGGGCGGGGCCGCCCCACCCAGGTGCTGCCCGGGCAGGCCGGGCGCGGGCGGGCGGGGCGGGGCGGCGCGTGAATCAGGCCGCGCGGGCGGGCGGGCCGCGCCGGGGAGTGGCTGCCGGACCGACCGGACCGCGAGGCCGCTGGGCGGCGGTCGGCTGCTGCTGCCCCTGTGCCGAGACCCCGCACACCTGGCCAGGTAGGGCCCCCTCCCGGCCCGGCGGGCGGGGCGCGGGGCGAAGCCTCGTGCGCGAGGCCGGGGCGGCGGGCGTGGGGAGCGGGGGGCGCACGCCGCGGGGCCCCGGGAAGCGGGAGGGCGCGCCGGCCGCGTCCCAGCTCGCCCGTCCCCCGCAGCCTACCTGAAGGCTGGGGACGCGCCCCAAGACGGCCGGGGCCCGTGTGGAGGGCCGGAGGCCGGGCGGCCCCCTCCCGAGCCCGTGTGCGGTACCGGGCGGCCCCGCTCCCGGGGCGCCCAGCCCGCCACTTCCGCCCGGCGGAGGCCGGCCTCCGGCCACCTCCCCGCGCCTACGCCCCTGCGCCTGCCGCCCCACACCGGGCCACATCCCCTCCCTGGGTCCCGAAGCCCCAGGCCCTGAGGTGGCCCTGCGCCGGGAGCCCTGGTTCCGGCCGGCCGCAAGCACGGGGTCCCGGAGGCCCGCAGGCTCCAGGTCGGAGGTGCCGGCCTCCTGCTGAGTCACAGGTCTGGGTGGGATGGACCCCGGGGTGGGGGGCGGGCGGGGGCAGGCCGGCAGGTCCTCCCCTGTGCCTGAGGGTGCCGCCGCCCCAGCACCAGGGAGGAAGCCCCTGAGCGTTGTGGGGGCGCAGCAGGGTCTGGGAAGCTCCGCACCCGTCCACCGGGCCACATGCTCTTCACCTACACCCCACCTCCCCAGAGATCGGAGGGCAGAGTCCCTTCCGGTGCGTGTTCCCCACACCCGGAAGTGCCCTAATACCTGTTGACACTTTCCCATACTGTGCAAGTTTGAGCGCGTGGCTGACCCTGTTCATGGAGGGCAGATACGTGTGGAGCCCGTCCAGCAGCCCCGGTGGGCTGGTACCACCGGGAAGGAAGGGAGCCCGCCTGCAGCCGGGCGGCTGTGCTCAGATGCTGGAGCAGGTGCACCCCAGCGCTGCAGTTACCCTTTGACCTGCTCCCTTCCACCAAATCAGCATGGTTCTCTGGGTCATACGCAGCAGGCCTCAGCCCTCCACACGAGGCAGGGGTCTCCTTCCACTGGGCCGTGTCATCTTTCGGCCGAGGGAGTCTCAGGTCTCTTAGGTCCCCTCGGCAGAGCCACATCTGCCAACCTGTGTGTTACATAAGGCAGGAGGCTCCCCAGCTCCTACACCTGAGAAGCCATCCCCAGTGCTGCGTCCACCATGGAGGCTGGCAGGGCTCAGGTGTTCAGTGATGGCTCTGGAAGGCCCACTGGAGTGTGGGCTGCTGGTACGGCCTCTGACCTCATCCTCAGCGCTGCTGGTGGCAAGTCAGGCTTGGAAGGTTCTTGCAGTCGTGGGAGATATTTAGTGCCAGCTTTGCCGAGAGGCCAGCATGATGAGGCTGTAGCCCTGAGAGGTTTTAGCTATGATGGACTGTGGCAAGATGAGTGGGGGAGGCGAAAGGCAGAGGAGCTGATGGGCAGGGACAAACTGCAGTGATCAGAGGGCTGGGGCTGGACTGTGCATGGGAAGGGGTGTGGCTAGATTATGTGGGTGGGGCTTACGCACACCATCCCCAGGTGAGTCAGTGTGCTTCACTCACTGGAGGCCAGGTGTCTTGGTGTGGAGGGCCTGCCCCGACTTTCCCAGGAGTGGCACAGTGTCACAAAACTCAAAAGGATGAGTCTGCATTATGTTTGTCTTTAAGCCCAAGTAACAATGAATAAAATATCTTCTTATAGAAAAAGGGATTCCCAAAGCCAGAGTGTGAGTTGAAGTCCTGAAAGAGAGGAGAGGGCTTGAGACTGGAGCCACTGTCCCACGGTGGGGTGCAGCCAACCCTTGAGTTCTGACTAGGGTGGAGTCCCAGCTAGAGAGGCTGAGGACAGGGCTGGTTACCTGTGACCCACCTGGCATCGCCCAGGCCCTGGAACCCTGGAAGTCTACCAGACAAGGGTGGAATGCCAGTCCTCCCAAGGGCCCTGACGGCCCTCCTGCGCCGTGCCCACAGGAGGGGAAGAAGAGGGGGCTGCTGCCCCACCCAGTAACGTGTCTCCCTGCGCCTCCAGGCCCCCGGCCCCAACATGGCCCGTCGCTCGCAGTGCTCCTCGCAGGGGGATAACCCGCTGGCACCTGGGTACCTGCCACCTCACTACAGAGAGTACTACCGCCTGGCCGTGGACGCGCTTGCCGAGGGGGGGCCAGAAGCCTACAGCCGCTTCTTGGCATCCGAGGGGGCACCTGACTTCCTGTGCCCAGAGGAGCTGGAGCACGTGAGCCGCCACCTGCAGCCCCCGCAGCATGTTGCCCGTGAGCCCCCTGAGGGCAGCCCCCCCGACGTGGACATGGATGGCTCCTCCGGCACTTACTGGCCAGTAAACTCGGACCAGGCTGTGCCTGAGCTTGACCTGGGCTGGCCTCTGACCTTCGGCTTCCAGGGGACCGAGGTCACCACTCTGGTGCAGCCTCCACCCCCGGACAGCCCCAGCATCAAGGACGAGGCGCGGAGGATGATCCGCTCTGCCCAGCAGGTGCTCCTCACGGGCTTGGTGGGCAGTGGAGAGGGCTACCTAAGCCAGCCTGGAAGACCAGGGGGAGAAACAGGGAGAAGGAGAAACTCATGAGGTGGAGGGAGTTAGGGGGGCGGGCTACTGGCCAGATGTCTGTCAGAAGTTCACCAAAAGTCCAGTTAGTGCAGGCTGTAGGTGCCATGTGTGTATGGCTGGTGTCCACAGGGTGTGTGGCCCCTGCTAGCCTGGGATAGCTGTGCAGAGAAATACCTGCAGTCAGCCAGGCACCGTGGCTCATTCCTGTAATCCTAGCTACTCAGGAAGCTGGGATCTGAGGCTCACGGTTGAAAGCCAGCCCAGGCAGGAAAGTCTGTGAGACTCTTATCTCCAGTAAACCACTAGAAAGCCAGAAGGCTCTGTGGCTCAAGTGGTAGAGCGCACGCCTTGAGCTGAAGAGCTGAGGGACAGCACCCATGCCCAGAGTTCAAGCCCGACAACCAGAAAAAAAAAAAAAACAAAAAAACCCTGCAGGCCTGGCCAGTGGACCCCTCTGTGCAAGGGCAGAGCGGCCACACCTTGGGGCTCCCTTCTGTTGGCTGTTATGTTCTGGGACCCACGCCAGGCACATCTGCAGAAGCCCTCTGGTAGGGGTCTGGGTGGGAAAACAGGCGATCAGCCCACCCTCCTGACCCGGCACCGCCCCCAGGTGGTAGCTGTGGTGATGGACATGTTCACCGACGTGGATTTGCTCAACGAAATGCTGGAGGCGGCAGCCCGCAGGGTTCCAGTCTACATTCTGCTGGATGAAATGAACGCGCAGCATTTCCTGGACATGGCGGACAAGTGTCGTGTCAATCTGCACCATGTGGATGTGAGTGGCCAGGAGGGGTGGGGGGCAGGGGAGGCCTGGGCCTGAGCCTGACGGACTCTACTCCTCAGTTCCTGCGTGTCCGCACTGTGGCGGGCCCAACCTACTACTGCCGCACAGGGAAGTCCTTCAAGGGCCACGTGAAGGAGAAGTTTCTGCTCGTGGATTGCGCCGTTGTGATGAGCGGCAGCTACAGGTCTGCATGGCTGGGAGTCCCCAAACCTGGCCGGCCCTCCCCAACAGCCCCCCTCCCTGAATGACGCCCCCCCCAGCCCAGAGCCCCTGCTTCCCCGGCCACCCGCGGGCCCTGGCAGCCGCATGCCTCCCCTGACCCCGGCCTGGACCTCCCACAGCTTCATGTGGTCCTTCGAGAAGATCCACCGCAGCCTGGCGCACGTGTTCCAGGGCGAGCTGGTCGCCAGCTTCGACGAGGAGTTCCGCATTCTCTTCGCGCAGTCGGAGCCGCTGGTGCCCTCGGCCGGGGCGCTGGCCCGCATGGACGCCATGGCGGTCGCACCGTACGCGGGGGCCGGGCCCCTGGCGGGCGTCCCCGGGTTCGGGGCGCCAGCGCCCTTCTCCTTCCCCAAGCGCGCGCACCTCCTGTTCCCGCCGCCCCGGGACGAGGGCCTGGGCTTCCCCTCCTTCCTGGACCCCGACCGCCACTTCCTGTCTGCCTTCCGCCGGGAGGAGCCGCCCGCGGGGCTGGCGGGGCTGCGGCTCCCGCGGCGGCTGGACGTGGACGCGGGGCCGGGCGCGGAGCCGGGCGCGCGCGGCTTCTTCCAGGCCCGGCACCTGGAGGTGGACGCCTTCAAGCGGCACAGCTTCGCCGACGGCGCGGGCGCGGTGGAGAACTTCGCGCGGCAGGTGTCCCGGCAGACGTTCCTGAGCCACGGCGAAGACCTCCGCTTCCAGACCAGCCACTTCCACCGCGACCAGCTCTACCAGCAGGGCTACCAGTGGGACCCGCAGTGCGCGCCCGCGCGCCCGCAGGGGCTCTTCGAGAAGCTCCGTGCCGGCCGCCCCGGCCTGGCCGACCCCGACGAGTTCGCGCTGGGCCCCGGGCCGCGCTTTGCGGAGCTGGGCGCGGACGGGCCCGGGCACCAGCGGCTGGAATACGTGCCGTCCAGCGCGTCCCGCGAGGTGCGCCACGGCTCGGACCCCGCCTTCGGGCCCGGGCCCCGCGGCCTGGAGCCCGGCGGGGCGCTGCGCCCCAACCTGGGCCAGCGCTTCCCCTGCCAGGTCTCGGGCCGGCCGGGCCCCGAGCACGCGGAGGCGGAGCCTGAGCGCAGGGGCGGCCCCGAGGGCCGCGCAGGGCTGCGGCACTGGCGCCTGGCCTCCTACCTGAGCGGCTGCCACGGCGAGGACGCGGGCGAGGAGGGTCTGCCCCTGGAGGCCGAGGCCTCGGATGACGACGTGCTGGGCCCGGCCCGCGACCCGCCCCCGCCCGCCCTGCGCGGGCCGCTGGGGCCGGGCGGCGGCGGCAGCGCGGAGGACGCGGGCCTCGCCACGCAGGACTCGTTCCGCTCGCGCCTCACGCCACTCATCCAGCGCAGCTCCCGGCTGCGCTCCTCCCTCATCTTCGCGTCCCAGGCCGAGGGCACCGCCGGTCCCGCGGCCGCCACCACAGAGAAGGTGCAGCTACTGCACCGTGAGCAAACGGTGAGCGAGACGCTGGGCCCTGGCGGCGAGGCCGTGCGCTCCGCCGCCTCCACCAAGGTGGCCGAGCTGCTGGAGAAGTACAAGGGCCCGGCCCGCGACCCGGGCGGCGCCTGCGCCGTGGCCGTCGCCAGCCACAGCAGGGCGCTCGCGTGCCAGGCCTGGCGGGAGGAGGCGGCGCCCGGCGGGGCAGGCGCGGAGCGGCGCAGCCTGGAGAGCTGCCTGCTGGACCTGCGCGACTCCTTCGCGCAGCGCCTGCACCAGGAGGCCGAGCGGCAGCCGGGCGCCGCCTCGCTCACCGCCGCGCAGCTGCTGGACACGCTGGGCCGCGGCGCCGAGCGCCTGCCCTCCCGCTTCCTCCCCGCATCCCCGCGGGGCCTCGACAGCCCTCCGCCCGAGGGGCCCGGCGCCCACCCGACGACGCGGCCTGAGCGGAGAGGGAGCCCGCCCGCGCCCGGCTGTCCCGCCCGCAGGGGCGGCCCCCCCACGGTGCCTATGGAGCAGAAGGGCTGCCCGGAGCGGCGGGGCAGCCCGGTGCCGCCCGTGCCCGAGCGGCGGGGCAGCCCGGTGCCGCCCGTGCCTGAGCGCAGAGGCAGCCTCACCTCCGCAGAGGCTCCGAAGGCCGGCCCCGCGGAGGAGGCGGCGGGCGGCCCCATGGAGGTCCTGCGCAAGGGCTCGCTGCGCCTCCGGCAGCTGCTGAGCCCCAAGAGCGAGCGGCGTGGAGAGGAGGAGGGCGGCGCCGCGGCGCCCCAGGAGAACGGGCAGCCCGAGAGTCCCCGGCGGCCATCGCTGAGCCGGGGCGACAGCGCCGAGGCCGCGGAGGAGCGGGGCGGGCGGGTGCGCCTGGCCTCGGCCACGGCCAACGCCCTGTACAGCAGCAACCTGCGGGACGACACCAAGGCCATCCTGGAGCAGATCAGCGCCCACGGCCAGAAGCACCGAGGGGTCCCCGCCCACAGCAGCCCGGAGCTGGGGCGCCCGCCGGCGGCCGGAGACCTGGCCCCAGACATGTCCGACAAGGACAAGTGCTCAGCCATCTTCCGTTCAGACGGCGCAGGGCCGCAGGCCCGGCTGAGCCGCACGCTGCCCGCCAGTGCCGAGGAGCGGGACCGGCTGCTGCGCCGCATGGAGAGCATGCGCAAGGAGAAGCGCGTCTACAGCCGCTTCGAGGTCTTCTGCAAAAAGGAGGAGGCCGGGGCAGGGGACAGCCTGGCCGAGGAGGACGCCAGGGACAGCAAGGTGGGCAAGTTCATGCCCAAGATCCTGGGTACATTCAAGGGCAAGAAGTGAGCGAGCCAAGCCGGGCCGGGCCCCCGCCACCAGCCCTGGGCCGTGTTTGAGTAGTGACCACCAGGCCCTGGTGCTAAGACTGTGGGGCCTGACTGGGGGTTTCCCAAACTCAGTGTTCCCTGGACTCCACTTCTGGGGCCCAGGAGTATTCCTCAAACCCAGCGTTCCACAGACTGCTCCTGGGGCCCAACGAGTGTCCCCCAAGCCCCACTCCACTTGAATTCGCCTGGCAGCTGCCCTGTCTCTCACCATGGCCCATGCTCCGCCAAGGGCTCCTCCCAGCACCCGTGGCCTGTCCCCTCCGCCATCTTGGGCTCGGGTCCCTTTGGGGGCTGCCATTCGCCTCAGGGACCTGGCTCTGCCTGGGTCCCGTGTCTTTCAGGGTCCTCATCGCTTTGTGCCTCGACTTCCTGATCTGTCTCGGGCCTTTTGTCTTCTCAGGAGCTCCTGTCTCGGGGCGTCCGCTGCCCCGGCCCCTGCTCTGTCCTCTCGCTCCCTGCTGTGCTTGCCTCCACCCTCCTTGGGCTCTGCGTGCTCTCAGCTTCCTGCCACCTTCTTGGCATCCGCCCTCCTGCTGTGGTAAAGGTAAAGCTATCTGTGAGGAAGTGTTGGGGTGCTCCTGGGGTGACAGGCCACTGGGGCAGGGATGCGGGGCCCTGGAAGCACCACCCTGCCCCCAGGCTGTAGCCCCCCGCCAGCCAAGTCTGCCCTCCAGCCATTCCCTGGGCAGCGCTAAGAAGCCAGGAGGGGATCACAAGCACAATAAAAGTCTGGATGGACACCTGTGCCGCAGCCTCATTCATGCCCCACGGGGGCAGGAGCGGTGGGGGCTGAGCCCAGGTGCCTCCCCGGCGGGGCGCACCGACCCGCGGGGCCACCCTCGGGCTGGGGTCCCGACAGGGCGCCCGGGGCCCCCTCTACCCCGCGCTCCAGCTCTCCCGCGGGCGTGGGGGGCGCCCGGGACGGCGGACGGCGGGGTCGAGGCCTAGCGCCCGGTAGAGGAGGCCGCTCTCCGGGCACCGGGAGCCGCACGTCCACTCTGCATCCGGGCGGTGGAACCTGCGGGACCAGGGTGCAGGGGGTGCACTGGGCTGCCGGGGACCCCGCGCCGGGCACAGCCTGCCTGCACTCAGGCACGCGCGGCCCCCCCCGCCCGCCTCTGCCGCGGTCAGGCGCTGGTCGGGGGCGAACACCAGGAGCCGGCCCAGGAGTCCCAGAGCGTGGGGGGGTTCCCACGGCAGAAGGGCCCAGTGTGTGCCCTGGCCTGCAGGCAAGCGGCCTCGTCTCCCTCCAGGCCCTGCCCTGTGCCGTCTGCAGACCTGCTTGTGGCCCCTGGGCTGGCATCCAACCTGTCCCCGTCCCCTTCCCCATTTCCTGTCCGGATGGACCCTCAAGAGCTGCAGAGAGCTGGGGAGACCCTGACCACCTCTCCCTTTCCTCTGCTCCTCCGGCCTCACCAGGACCCTCTGGAGGCTTCCCACAGCCCTGAGGGGGCTGTTCAATGGAGGAGGGGAATCGCCCCTCTAAAAATTCTCTCCCCAGTTACTTGCTGCATTCAGGGCTGGTGTCAGGAGAGCAGGGTACAGGTGCACAGACCTCTTGTGCCAGCTATGGAACGGTGCCCATTCCTGCCTCCGCCCCCCTCCACACACATACCCTCACCGAGACCTCAGGTTGTGCAGAGCCAAGGTGCTGTGTAGTCTGAGCGGAGAGCTGAGAGGCCTGGGGGGAGGGTGACCAGGCCTGTCTGCTGAGGGCCTCCGGCCAGCTGTTCCTTGTGGACCCGGGGCCATCGGCGGGGCTGTGCTGAAGTGGCCCCTATGAGGGCCCTCGGTCCTGGCTGCACGCGCTCCCCAACACCTTTCTCCACCTCTCCCCACATTGCTGGGTTCCCTGGCTGGACTCTCAGCAGCACCCCTGCTCCCCACATTCCTGGGCAAGCTGGACCCCAGCTGTGTGGCCCCTGAGGCCCTGTGCTAGGCCTTACTTCCCCCACAGCTGCCCATGCTGGGCCCTCCATCTTCACGGCCTATGCTATTTCCAGTCCTCCTGGGGCTCCGAGTCCACCCCTGCCGCCTCCTCACCCCGTCCCCCTCCCTGGTGAATTGCTGCTTCCCCACAGCTGGGCTCACGCACCATCCACCAGCAGGGGGATGGTCTCCAGGACCAGCTCCAGCTGGCGGAGGGCAGATGAGCAGGGGAACAGCGGCCAGCCTCCCAGCATCTCTCCCAAGCAGCCCAGGCTCCACATGTCCACCCCAGGGGTGTACCTGGGGCAGGAAGGGGAGTGGACGAAGGGCTGCTCAGGGGTGGAAGCGGGTGCAGACAGGGGGGCCCAGGAAGGCCCATGTGGGAGTAGCCACACGGGATGGGCGTGGAGAGGACGGTGTGCTGGGGGACCCACTGTTACCATCTTGAGCTGAGCAGCACCTCCAGGGCTCGGAACCACTATGTGGCCACATGCTGGGTCAGCGCCTGGCCCTCGGGCCCCGCGGGGAGGTCGCCCAGGGAGTGGGCAAGGCCGAAGTCGCAGAGCTTCACGGTGCAGCTGGCGTCCACAAGGACGTTGGATGGCTGGAGAGAGTGGTACGCTGCTGGGTAGGGGCCGGGCGCACACGGGGGCAGGGTTCTGCGGGTGCACACAGGGGCAGGGGTCTGTGGGCACACATGGGGGTGGAGCCTGCAGGCAGCTTGAGGCAGAACCTTCTGGTCTCTGTGGATGAGCGTCCCGGAGGAGATGCATGTGGCGGCCTGCAGGGGCTGTGGAAGATGTAGCTCTGTGGACATCGCACAGCAGGCTGCCCTTCTGGATGACGGCGTTCAGGTCGGTGTCTGGGGAGGTGGGGGAGCCGGCGAAGGACATGCAGGTCAGCCTGGGGGTGAACCCCCCTGACCCTCAGCCCGTCCTGGGCACTCCCTGCTTGGCTACTCTGCCAAGCCTCCATTCTGCTCCCTGTCCAGTAGACAATAAAGTTCTGCCAATCTATTTTCTTCTTTTTCTTTTTTATTTTTGTCAGTCGTGAGGCTTGAACTCTGGGCTAGGACGCTATCTCTGTACTCTTCAGCTCAAGGCGAGTGTTCTACCGCTAAAGCAAGTGCTCTACTGCTTGAGCCATAGTGCCACTTCTGGTTTTCTAGTGCTTTATTGGAGATAAGAGTCTCATGGACTTTCCTGCCCGGGTTGGCTTTGAACCATGATCCTCAGCTCTCAGCCTCCTGAGTAGCTAGGATGACGAGTGTGAGCCACCGGCGCCCGGCTTGCAGATCTATTTTCATACTCTCATGTCACCCTTGTGTTACAAAGCGAGTGGGAAAAAGAACACATAGCTGCAAGTGGGGACAGAGCAAGAGCCCCATGGGAGCAAGCAGTGGTCCCCACCAGGCTCAAGAGGCCAACTCGCCAGCCCTGTGTCCTTGGGTACGTGACACGGCCAAGGGCACTAGCCACAGAAGAGACACAGGCAGCAGAAGGACAGAGAGGCCGCAGGCAAGGCCCAGGGTGGGGCAGAGAGGAGAAGAGGCCAATGAGGCCCTCCTCGCCCATGGACTCAAACACCAGATAAATGTCCTTGTCATTCTCAGCTGGGTCACCGCAAGCAGGGGTACGATGTTGAGATGACCCCCGAATGCCTGTGGAGAGTTGCTGCTGCTGGGAGGCCCAGGCGTGCTCTGGGCATCGAGGGGCCAGCGTCCCCCTTGTCTGGAGAGATCTGAAGCTGGGAGGACAGATGCAGGCCAGACAGCTCGCATCCTCCAGAGCCACTCACCTGGAGAAGCGTGACCTTCTAGAACATTCTCTGAAAGAGACAAAAACACCCATCCACCCATCCAGCCAGTCCGGCCAGGAGGCCTGCTGTGACGTTCAGAGCTCCTGGCCAGGCACCAGCCCTGCCCACCCCTACCCCCCACCCCTGCCCAGCACTCACCTGAGCATCTGTCTGTCTCTGAAGGCATGGAAAATTTTCTTGATAGCCACCACCTCACCAGCCACTACCCTCCACACGATGCCACAGGTCTGGGGGCAGCGCGGTCAGCAGCGGCGCCAGCATCCTGCCCAGCCATCCCCTGCCCACAAAGGTCATCCCTGCAGAGGAGAGCTGCACAGTCCAGCCTCTGGGTTCTGGGAGGAGGAGGTGTGGTGAGGCCTTTAGAGGAGGCCACCAGGGGAGGAAAAGCTAGCGCCAGCCCTGGGAGGACCGGAGGCCATGGTGAGCACTTAGGGTACTGCCCCTGACAGGCTCGAGCTCTTTGCCTTCCAGCCAGCTGAGTGCTCCGGCCCTGTTTCCCGCCCCCCCCCCCCCCACCTTCCTGGCCTGTCCCTTGCTCCACCCTGTCCGATCTGCTTGGCAAATCTCCTTGCTTCTCCCTTCAGATGCATCCAGTCTGACACTTGAATGCCCGAGGCCCGGCCTTGGTCCAAGCCTCCGGTATCTCCTACCCCTCCTCCACAGGGCAGACCAGGGAGCCCCACAGGCCCGTGCTAGCCAGAGCCCAAGACCTCAAGGTTGAGCAGCAGCTGCCTCCCTCCTCCTGGTGTTCACATCTACACAGCTGTGACTTCTACAGGGGCCAAGCTCCTTCCACCTCAATGCATTTGTGCTGGCTGTCTGTACTTTCCAGAATGTTCTTCCTTTCTCCTGCAGTCAGTGTACACTGAGGGGCACACCCTACCTCCCCAGCGTGTCCTGGGGCAGGTAACATGCCAGGCTGCCCGAGGGCAGGGGACGGGGCAGGGGCTACAGGGCCTGAGTACCAGCCAGCTTCCTTGGGGAAAGTGAGGCACGGGGGCTCCAGGAAATGTTTAGGCCGCTGAATCAGCCGCCAGCGTGGGGCGACCAGACCCGCCCATGGGCAGGCGGCGGACGCGGGCGGACGCGGGCGCCCCGGCTCACCCCTTTCCCGAGCCGCGACATGGCACCGGCTCCGGTCGCAGACGGGCCCGCCCCGGCCCTGCGTCCGCCCCCGCCTCCCCTGGGACCGCCCTGGCTTTGGGCCCACGTCGGCCCGCGGTGTCTACTTGGGGCCAGGCCCGCTCCGCAGGTTCGCGGCCGGGGACGACCAGAGACGAGCGCGGCGCGGGAGGACGCCGGGCCGGGAGCGGCCCAGGAAGGGGCAGCGAGGGGAAAGCGCAGCGCCCGGCCCCGGCGGCGGCCTGCGGTCGCGAGCCTCGGAACCCCGCCCCCCGGGCCGGGGCCGGGGCGGGCCGGGCCGGGCCGGGCCGGGCCGGGGCGGGCGAGGGGCGCGGCACCGGGCGGACCGCCGCGCCGGAACCCGGGAGCTGCCCTGCCCGCCGCCGGCCGGGGTCCCGCTCAGGTGAGTTCCCGGCGAAGGCTTCCGCGTTGTCTTCTGAGCTGCGGCCCCTTCGCCGGGACGCCACTCCCGCCTGCGGCGGCGGCCGGGCAGCCGGGAGCTCCGAGCCCTGTCACCCACACAGCAGCCGCCCCAGGGCCCGCAGGGCGGCCCGTACCGAGCTCGGCAGAGCTGGCTCGGCCCAGGACTCGACCTCGCAGCCCCTCCAGCACGCCGCTGGCCCCGGGCCGTCGAGGGCCACGCCGCGCCTCCCGCGCCCGGGACGGCCGCGCCCGTTCCCGAGTGAGCGGCGAGAAGCGCGGAGGCCCCGCACGCTCCGACCCCAGCAGCTCGCCCCGCGAGGGCCCACGCACTGACGGACACGCGCGGGCTTGGGAGCCGCCGAAAGAACGCACTGGGCTCTGGGCCGGCGGCGGGGCGTGTGCGGGACTTAATGCTGGCCTAACCCCAGTCCCACGGAGGCCGCAGGGCCAGGGCTCCTCGGGAGAGGAAAGGCCGTGGGGACGTCTGGGGCCCGCACGGGCGGGCGCGGAAGGAACCGATAGACAGCAGACGAGGACGCTAAGACCCTGGTCCCCAGAAAACGGGTCCGCGGGACTGCTGGCGGCCAGGAAGGCCAGTGCGCGAAGCCTAAGCCCCGCGCGTCTCTGCCCCTCCCGCGGGCCACGCCCCTCTCCCGCGTCTCCGCCCCCTCCCGCGGGCCACGCCCCTCTCCCGCGTCTCCGCCCCCTCCGCTGGGCCCATCCCTCCGCACGCGTGTCTCCGCCCCTCCCACGGGCCACGCCCCTTCGCCCACGCGGGTCCCGCCCCTCCGCACGGACGGGACTTGGAGGAGAGAACTGCCCGGAATGAAGCAGTCCCGCGTTGCCCAAGGAACCATGTAGGGTGGGGAAGCGACTACGTTCTGTTTCCGCAGAAACCGGGAAACCGCGCCTGCCCAGCATCAACATTATCCATGTGGGGTGCTCCCGGGCGCAGCCGAAGTCTGGAGACGCCCGCCCGGATGTGGCCCTGTGTCTGCCCCCCGCCCCCAGCCCTGTGCCCCAGGGAAGCATCCCGACCGTGGATGAGGACCTAGGATTTGGAGGCGGACGCAGGTGAGGGGCTGAGCAGGTGGAGCGGGCGGCGCACGGTGCCCTCACGAGTCCTGGCGCCCCAAGCCCATGGCGCCCAAGAAGAAGCGCGGGGCGACCGGCGGGCGCGCCGGCGGAGGCGCGGAGCCGCAGCTGTCGGAGCGCGCCCAGTACCTGCGGCACGAGTGCCAGCTGCTCTCGGAGCTGATGGACTCCTGCTCCGGCCGCGTGGACCAGGTCCTGCGAGAAAACGCCTTCCTGGACAGCGAGGCGCTGCGCATGCGCGATGAGAACCGGCTCTACGCCAACTACCTGACCGTGCATGCGCAGCGCTGCGCCAACGCCATCATAACGCTGGACGAGAAGAATCGCGTGGACCTGGCCCAGATCCACTGGCAGCGAGCTGAGCTCGCGTCGCTCTACCAGGGTCGCGAGGACGGGGTGCGCGCGCAGCTGCTGGAGATGGAGACACGCGCAGAGCGGATGGCCCGGAAGGTCCAGGAGCTGCAGCCCTACAAGGCCAGTGCGCGCGCGCCCTCGGACGGGTCGGGGGCCCACGCGAGGGGGGCACGCTCCCCACCCCGGCGCTGACAGCGCTCCCGCCGCAGGAGCTGCAGCTGGAGCAGCTGGCGCGGATCCGGACTCTGGAGCGCGAGCTGCTGCACATGCGCGTGGAGCACACGCAGCTGCTGCACCGCGTGAAGCGGCGCTTCATGGAAGACCAGGCGGCCTTCGAGCGCGAGGCGCGCCAGCGCGTGCAGTCCCTGGGGCGGCGCGCGGAGCGGGAGGCGGCGCGCGCGCTCATCGCGCACACGCAGGCCATCAAGGCTGACAACTGGCGCCTCCGCCAGGAGCTGCTGGCGCTGCTGCACCGGAACCGGCTGCTCATCAACCTGCGGCGCCGGCTGCTGGAGCAGCGCGAGCAGCTGCGGCACAATCACGAGGACGCGCGGAACCTGGAGCGCGTGCACGGCTGGCTGCGCCGGGGCCCCAGCGGGCCCCAGCTCTGGCAGCCCCCCGCCCCGGCCCAGCCGGCGGGGCCCGACTCCATCCCGGCGCTCGGGACCCCGTCCGCAGCCTCCACGCACCCGGCCTCCCCAACGCCCACCGAAGGCCCGTCGCGCCCCGCCTCCCGGCACCAGTCGGCCAGGTCCTCGCGCGCGGCCTCCCGGGTCTCTTCGGCTGCTGAGCCGCGCCCGGCTTCTCAGGGCCTGCTGGCCCCGCCGCCGGCCGCCCCCCAGCGCGGCTCCCGGGCCCAGTCCCTAGCCCCGTCCCGCCGGAGCTCCCACATGCCGTCGCTGACCCCATCCCTGACGCCGTCGGCTGGGAGCTCGGACACCTCGTCCGCGGCGCAGTCCCGCGAGAGCTCGCGGTTCTCCACACGGTCCTCCCTGCGATGGCCCTCACAGGACACGCTCGCCTCCGCCAAGTCCGGCCGCTCCAGCCTGTCCCGGCACGGCGAGCAGGGCGAGCAGGGCGAGCAGGGCGAGCCCGCCGAGCCCGCCGCCCCGGGCCCCAGGAAGACCGTCAACATTGTCTCGAGTTGAGCGAGCGGCGCGGGCCGGGGTAATAAAGTGCTACCCGCACCCGCACGACGCCTGCGCGCCAGCTCCCGACTGGGTGTCCCATTCCTCTATCCCCGCGACCCCCCGGGAGCCAGGCCTGCCTCGGGCCCGGGCCGGGGAAGCGGGGGCTGCGCGGCGCTGGAGGCCCGCGAGAGGGGAGCAATCCCCAGCACCGCGGAGGGGCTGTCCGCTGAGCCTGCAGAGAGCTTTGCGGGAACTTAGAAAATACGATTTCCAACTTAGACAAAGGTGCAAGAACGGGGTCGGCCCCATGGCCAGCATCTAACCTGGGCCCTGCTCTCTTGGTAGCCTGGGACTCTGTCGAAGACTTAATGCCCCTAATCCCTAAAGACAGCCGTGTGTGTCCCCATAGACAGCTGTGAGGGTGTCTCCAGAGATGTGTGTCCCCATGGGTGGCTGAGTGTGTCCTTGTAGACACATGTATCCCCATAGATGGCTGTGAGTGTCCCCAATAGAAGGCTCTTCTGTAGTGCAGTACATGCAAGCAGGAAATGCATTGTGGGGAAAGCACACGTGCAGATGTTTCCACGTGTCCCTTCATGGTTCTTGAGGTCTCTGGAATTATGCTGCTCTTGTGCAGAGTCCCTCAGCTGAGGTCTGACAGCCCTGAGACACAGGGTGGTGGCTAGCCCTGGAGGGCCACACCTTCCCCTTCACAGTGCCCAGCCCCCAGCTTGCGCGCCCTCGGGTCCCGGAGGGGTGTCCCCAAGTGGACTGCCATGTGGGGTGGCATCTCCTGCCTTGGTCTGAGTCCCACTCCACCGCACACCCCACAGAGAACCCCTTCTCTCCCCTGCAGTGTGGAAGGGAAGACAGGGACCTCACCAGCAAGTACAGAAAGTGTGTCTTTGCAAATTTAATCAAAAGCTGGAGCAGAAACACTAAGTTGTGGTGACTTACTGTAGATCACCACCAAGTAGGCCTGGAGAACTGAGCGCTGATGAGCACTCATCGCTGACACCTTTGGAGCACAGCTCGAAGGTTTCTCACAAAATTAGATTCTGGGGCTGGAAAGGTGGCTCAGTGGTAGAGTGCTTGCCTAGCATGCATGAAGCCCTGGGTTCGATTCCTCAATACCACATACACAGAAAAAGCTGGAAGTGCTGCTGTGGCTCTGGTGGCACAGCACTAGCCTTGAGCAAAAGAAGCTCAGGGACAGTACCCAGGACCTGAGTTCAAGCCCCAGGACTGGCAAAAAAACAAAAATCCAACTAGCCAGGTGCCAGTGACTCACACCTGTAATCCTAGTTACTTAGGAGGCTGAGATCTGAGGATTGGGGTTCAAAGCCACCCCAGGCAGGAAAGTCCGTGAGACTCTTTTTTTGGGTCCGGTCATGGGGCCTGAACTCTGGGCCTGGGCGCTGTCCCTCAGCTCTTCAGCTCAAGGCTAGCACTCTACCACTTGAGCCACAGCGCCACTTCCGGCTTTTTTTCTTATGTGGTGCTTAGGAATCGAACCCAGGGTCTCAGGCATGCAAGACAAGCGCTCTACCACTGAGCCACCTTCCCAGCTCCCCGTGAGACTCTTATCTCCAATAAGCCACTAGAAAACTGGAAGTGGCACTGTGGCTCAAGTGGTACAGCGCTCACCTTGAGCTGAAGAGCTGAGGGACAGTGCCCAAGCCGAGTTCAAGCCCCATGACCAACCAAAAAAAAAAGATCCAACTAGACATACTCTTACCATGAGATACAGCAACTGAGCTCCTTGGTATTTTTACCAAAGAAATCTTAGGTCCACACAGATGTTTACAGCAACCTTAATCATAATTGCCCAAATTTCTGCAAGCAGTGTTTGTCAGTTTTTCATCACTGTGGCAAAGTACTTGGGAAAATCAATTTAAATAAAGTTTTCTTTTGGTGCTGGTCCTGGGGCTTAAACCCAGGGCCTAGCTACTGTCCCTGAGCTTTGGTTTGGAGCTACAGCTCCACTTCCAGCATTTTGGTAATTAACTGGAGATTAGAGTCACAGATTTTCCTGCCAGAAGTGGCACTGAACCTCAATCCTCAGATCTCAATCACCTGAGTTGGTAAGATTATAGGCATAGGCCACCAGCACCTGGCTAGCTTTTTATAGTTTAAAACATAATTTCAGCCAGGCGCTGGTGGCTCATGTCTGTAATCCTAGCTATTCAGGAGGCTGAGATCTGAGATTGCGGTTCAAAGCCAGCCTGGCAGGAAAGTCCATGAAACTCTTATCTCTAATATAACACTAGAAAACTGGAAGTGGTGCTGTAGCTCAAACAGTAGAGTGCTCACCTTGAGCTAAAGAGTGCATGGACAGTGCCCAAGTACAGAGTTCAAGCCCCACAACTGACAAAAACAAAAAACATAATTTCAGACAAGAAAATTCAAACGCATAATATTTTTTATAAAGACAGAAAAATTAATGTGAAAATTATTAAATTACACCACAAGTTAGAAGACAAATGACCATCCTGAAAAAAATATTCACAATAAAGGACAAGAGACAATGAGATGTAAAGAAAAGGAGGGCTGGGAATGTGGCTTATGGCAGAGCACTTGCCTAACATGCATGAAGCCCTGGGTTCCATCCCTCAATACCACATACACAGAAAAAGCTGTGCTGGTGCTGGTGCTGTGCTCAAGTGGTAGAATGCTAGCCTTGAGTGAAAGAAAACTCAGGGACAGTGCCCAGGCTTAGTTCAAACCCTAGGACCAGGAAGTACATTTTGTGAGCAAGTGCACATGCACGCACGCGCGCACACACACACACACACACACTATATTCCACCACTCCAGCAATTGGGAGGTGAAGACAAGACCACACACACACACACACACACACACACACACACACACGCACGCACACACACACACACACTCTCTCTCTCTCTCTCTCTCTCTCTCTCTCTCTATTCCACCACTCCAGCAATTGGGAGGTGAAGACAAGAGGATCTCAAGTTTGAGGCTGGACTCAAGAACATGGAGATGGAGGGGAGGGGGAAGGAGGGAGAGTCTAGAATGCAGAGAATTTTTAGACTGGCAACAGTGTGTGGCATGGACAAGCAGCAGGAGCACATCAACACAGGCGACACAGAATGGCAGCACCACAGACAGCAGTGTGGTGATTCCTTTTAAAGTGAGAAATAGACGGACCCCAATGGACTACATCTGAACACACATATCCCCAAACCCACCTAGCCCCCAGGGCGCTGGTCTAGGTGGGCCTCTGGGAGGGGGAGGACCACGAAGACAGAGCCCTCACAAAGGGCTTGAAGAGGTAGGAGAAAGTTGCCTGGGCCCTCTGCCATGCAAGGTTCCAGGCAGGACCCCACTGCCAGGGAAGAGGCCCACCAGACACCTCGGCCCTGCCTCCTGCCCATCTCCATCCCCAGCCACCACAGGTGGGGGAGGAGTTCCTCTGGTCTGCAAGCATCAGGCTTACCCAGCTTACAGCCACGAGTAGACTAGGATATTTGTAACTCAGCAATAAAAGCAGTAGGTATTCCTCTGAGCAATTAAGACCTGCAAGCCAATACTTCTACACAAAAATGGTTTTATTCAAAACCGGAAAGCCAAATTTCCACAAACAAGGGGACAAATGGCCGAGGGTTCATCTGCCACGGCACACGGCTCAGCACACACAACTATTACAACACAACCTGGCTGTGTAAACACACTTGGAGTGACCAGCTGGACATGAGGACAGGCCTCAGAGCAACATGAGGTTCTAGAAGCAATGCTAAGCTACTGCAGAAAGCCATTTCCAAAGGTGGAGGCCAGGCTGGCATGGGAAGCTCTGCGGGCTGACTCGCGGCTCTCCCTGACTGTGGGCAGTTCCGCTGCTGTAGGAGCTTCCATGTCTTTACACTTGCTTCCCTGGCACCTCGAACACTTCCAATAACGGCAGGTTTTCCAGAAAAGAACATGGCATGGCCTTGTTGAATTATCTGCCCACTTGAGACTGGAATTCATTAAAAACATAAGCCAGGCACTGAGCCTGGCACTGGTGGCTCACATCTGTAATCCTAGCTTTCAGGAGGCTGAGATCTGAGAATCATAGTCCAAAGCCAGCCCAGGTAAGGAAAGTCCATGAAGACTTTTTTGTTGTTGGTTGTAGGGCTGGGTGCTGTCCCTCAGCTCTTCAGCTCAAGGCAAGTGTTCCATCACTTGAGCCAAAGTGCCACTTGTGGTTTTCTGGTGGTTTATTAGAGATAAGTCTCACAGACTTTCCTTGCCTGGCCTGGCTTTGAACCTCAATCCTCAGATCTTAGCCTTCTGTGTAGCTAGGATTACAGGTGTGAGCCACTGGCGACTGGCTAGTCCATGAGACTTTTATCTCCAATTAACCACCAGAAAATCAAAGTGGCACTGTGGCTTAAGTGGTAGAGCACTTGCCTTGAGCTGAAGAGCTCAGGGACAGTGTCCAATCCCAGAGTTCAGGCCCCACAACCAACAAAAGAAAACTGGAAGTTGTGCTGTGGCTCAAAGTGGTAGAGTACTCGCCTTGAGCTGAGAGCTAAAGTGCCCAGGTCCCAAGTTCAAGCCCCATAACCACACAAAAAACACTCTAAATTAGGCCATTATAGACAAAAATTATTTTACATTATCTCAAAAGTGGTGGTGAGTGTTCAGATGAAAGAAATTCAGAGGCAGAGACGAGTAGTCTTGCTGGATGGGACAAACTGTGAACTAAACCTGCCTGGCCAGAGCCAGCGCCGCTCCCGGATCACCTCCCTCCTCTGGCTGACCACGTGCAGGCCAGCTCTTCCATGAGGCTGGCCCAGAGCGCTGCGCCACTGCTCACCTCCTCACCCCACGCTGCTATAACCCCCGGGACACGCTGTGTTCCACCACTCCATTCCCTGCCCAGTCTGCGTGCCTCCCCAGGTCGGTCCTCCAGGGTGGATGGTACCTTTTCCCTCTCCTCCAGATCTGCACTTCCTATTCCTTGTAGATCTCAGTATATTTTCAAGTAGGAGACATGAGCCAGAGGCAAAAAGTGACAAAAGTCAGAACAATCTTGGAGCTGGTAAGACAGAAACGTGTTGCACCTGACTGTGTGTCCTCGAGTATCTGGGTGAGATTCACACAAGGAGGTCGCTGTCCCTGAGGGCAGTAGCAGCCTGGGCAGCGCCACTGGCCACCGCAGGAGGGCGCCGATGTAGACTGGAGTCTGAACAACTCTTTATTCGGGAGGAACAGGAGGTGTTAACAGTGCTGGGAGCGAAGACATATCTAGTAGAATCGACAACACTGATGCAAAACTAAGAAACACCCACAGCCTGGCATGGTGTCACCCTTGTAACCCTAGTACATATGAAGCTGCGGCAGCAGGGTTGCGAGTTCAAGGTCAGCCTGGCCACATAGTCACACTGTCTAAAAAAAGGGGGAAAAAAGATGCCAATTACAGACTTCGGGGTATCTTTTGTTGCTATGTGCTAGTCACTGGGGATACTTGAATCAGAAATGATACAAATCAGGGCTGGGGAGGTGGCTCAGTGGTAGAGCACTAGCCTTGAGCTGAAGAGCTGAGGGACAGGGCCCAGGCCCAGAGTTCAGGCCCCACGACCAGATCCAAAAAAAAAAAATAATAATTAAAAAAAAAAAAAAAAGAAATGAGACAAATCAAATTCTGGTATTTCAGAAGAAATATAGTAAGAGAGGTAAGCATTGAGCTTTGAAACAAGAAAGCCGCCCACCTGGCTGAGCACCGGGGCACATGTCTGGGTTGGATGCCTGAGAAGCCTGCCGGAAGAGGAGCTGGGGATGGAGGGGGGGGGGAGAGTGTGTGGAGATCAGGTGACAGGTACCCCTCTTGGCTATGTGGCCAGGAACTAAGTGAGCAAGGGGGCAAAGCTGTAGGACGCAGGACGGGGACTGGGGCTCAGTCCATTTTCATGAGAAAGCCTCTTCCTCCAACCTTTCTGACAGGTGAACTTTCAAAGAGTAAGAATAAATACACAGTTCAGCCCTAAAAGCATTAACTCAAGTGCTTTGCAATTGTGAATGCAATCTAAAACCCTTTTCTAAACCCCCACCCCACATCTCTGCTCAAGGTGAGCTGACTGGTCCCTGGGCTCTGGCCTTGGTAGTAGCCTAGGCCACGCCCACCCAATCCTAAACTGCATCACTGACTCCAGGAATGACTGCTTTCTGCATCACCCACCTGCACCTCCTCTGTGGCCCTCTCACCCAAATGCAAGGTGGCCTCACTCAGGGGAAGCCCTTCCTGCTGGACAAAGGCCGGGGCTGGAGGGGGCTCGGCACACTCGTGGAGCCTCTCCTCAGTGTGCATCTTCTGGTGCTGAAGGAAGTTGGACCTTTGTATGAAGCCCTTCCCACAGTGACTGCATGCGTAGGGCTTCTCTCCCGTGTGGACGATCTGGTGCAGAAGCAGCTTGGAGCTCTGAATGAAGGCCTTCCCACAGTCTTTGCACTCAAAGGGTCGGTCCCCAGTGTGGATCTTCTGATGCTCAGTGAGGTGGGCTTTCTGCAGAAAAGCCTTCCCACACGCTTTACACTCGTACACCCTCTCGCCAGTGTGGATCTTCTGGTGTCGAATAAGGTAGGAACTCAGAAAGAAGGCCTTCCCACATTCGTTACACTCATAGAGCTTCTCCCCAGTGTGGATCCTCTGGTGCTGGGTAAAGTTGGAGGTCTGGCTAAAGCGCTTTCCGCACTCATTGCACACATAGGGCCGCTCCCCAGTGTGGATTCTCTGGTGCTGAATCAGCTTGGAGCTCCGAATGAAGGCCTTGCCACACTCTCGACACTCAAAAGGCCGCTCCCCAGTGTGGATCCTCTGGTGCTCAATGAGGTCCGAGCGGTGGCGGAAGGCCTTCCCGCAGTCCCGGCACTCATACTGCCGCACCTCGGTGTGGGTCTGGTAGTGGCGGATGAGGCTGGAGCTCCGGATGAAGGCCTTGCCACACTCGTTGCACTCATAGGGTCTCTCTCCCGTGTGGGTCCTCTGGTGGCGAATGAGCAAGGAGCTCTGGCTGAAGCCTTTCCCGCACTCCTTGCATTCAAAAGGCCGCTCTCGAGTGTGAACCCTCTGGTGCCGAAGCAGGTCCGAACTGTGGCAAAACGCTTTTCCGCACTGTGAACACTTGAATGGCTTTTCTCCTGCGTGAGCTTGCTGATGTTCGATCAGGCTTGCGTAATGAATGAAGTCTTTCCCACACGCGTCACACACATACACCCTGTCTCCCGTGCGGACTCTCTGATGTTCAGTGAGGTGTGAGAGCGGACCGAAACCTTTCCCACACTGATCACGTGTGTAAGGCTTCTCCCCAGTGTGAGACACCTGATGTCGAACTAGGTCTGAATTGAACAGGAAACTTTTACCACAAATGCCACAGGAGTGCGCCTCCCTTTCTATAAAATCTCTCTGAAGTATAAGAAGGTTCGAGTTCAGAATAGAGTTTCTTCCTGACTTACTACCTACCTGGGCTGCCTCTCCTGTCTGGATTTTCCAGTGGGTCACTGTCCCCTGCTCGAAGCCTGGTCCCTGTGGGCGCGGGCTCCCCAGGCTCTGTCCCTCTGGGCTCCCCAGTCTGGCCTCATGGGCTTCCCCAGCCTCAGACTCCCAGGCAGTCTCCGTCACTGGGACGCCGTCGGACATCATCTCATCCTCACAGCTTCAGTGGTCTTTTTGCCAGCAGCTCCTAAGACAATCTGAAAGAGAAGGACATCAGCTTTCCTCTCTTTGAAGCTGCTAAAGCAAGTGCGGGACTCAACCCACACCCCCCCCCCCCCAACCCCCATGCTTCTGTCTTCAGCTCCAGCATGGCCCCAGCGGCCATCTTGGTGTGGGACAGGCTCATGCCTCCACCTCTAGAGCACGTACTCTGTGGCACCCAGCGCTCTTCTGACCCTCAGTGCGTCCTGTGAAGTAGGAGGCACACACAGTGGGGCTGGGACACTACATAACCACCAAGACGTCCGATGCGAAAGGAACGCTCGCATCATCAGGCCTACATCACACCCAGCCTTCAGTTTCTGCCCAGCACGGACCCCACGCTACAACACTGCCCTTGATTTGTTCTACACATTACACACAGAAGCAGCTGTAGCACTTCTTTGCAGTACTCATGAGCAAACCTGGGGCCTCATGAACACGCAGCCAGAGCTCTGCCTTCGAGCTGTCTCCAGCTCAGCAGCAGCCTTTCTCACCTTGGTCAGAGCTGGGTTGGGAACCTCCTGAACTTCCAACCTTTTATCATCTAGTTCCCCTGAATTAAATCTCATACTGCTGAGAATCGTTACCATGGTTTCTTTCTGCCAAGTCTACCCTACGCCAATCTGCATGTGCATGTGTGTGCATATGCGTGCATGTGCGTGTGTATGTACTGGGCTTAAACTCATGTCCTCCTACTCATTCACCATTTCCCCCACAGCTGGTGCTCTATCATTTGAGCTTTTGCTGGTTAATTGGAGAGAAGACTCTGTCAGACTTGTGTCAGAGCTAGCTCTGAACCGCGATCCTCAGACCTCAGCCTCTCTGGAGGCTAGGATTCCAGGCATCGACACCACGCTTGTTACTTTGCACAGCTGGCTCTGTACATCCTTGGGTTTCACACCATCCTTGATTCAGCCAACCCAGGTTACATAGGCTCAGAAAAACATTTGGTCTGTACTGAACATGTACAGACTTTCTTCTCCTTACTCCCTAGGAAATAGTGTGGCAACTAGTTACACAGCACTTATATAAGGAACATGGCTCAAAATGGTAATTTAAAATAGTGGCCAGGTGCTGATGGCTCACACTTGCAATCCTAACTACTCAGGAGGCTGAGATCCGAGGATCATGGTTCAGACAGCCCTGAAATGCCAGACTAGAGGCGTGGCTGGGGGCAGGGTGTCAGGACTGGGGAAGAAACACAGGAGCTGCGTGCAGGTTAGTGCAGTGCGCTGTTTCACATGCAGGATGTATTTGCAGAGCCAAGGGGCTCCTGTAAACTACCCCTCCACGTACACCAGCTTGGACTCGGTTCAGGTTGCTTCCAGACCTGTCTACCCTTGCTGACTGCAGAGTGAACAGGGCATGCTCCGCACCCCCCAGCTCTCCCGCTCCCCTCTGCTTTTGTGTCCAGCACTCTTCCACCCCTTAGTCACATTGTGGTTTCAGAGTACAGGCAGCAAGACACGGCCCCCAGACTTGTTCCCACCTACCTGCCCTCTTGCAACCAGTTAAGCTGCCCTTGGCCCAAAGGAAGGTGATCCTGACCCTCTCTCCTTCCCTCCCATGGCCAGTCACTCACTCCCCTCCAGCCAGCTGCTATTCCTGGCAGCGTGAGGGCTGTTTTCGCCCACCCAACGCGGGTGCCGGGAGGCTGAGGCAGAGGCACCACTGGAACCTGGGATCCCCATCTCTCCCCATTAACAGCTCACCCAACAGTAACCACACCCATGTCTCCATCTCCTTTCCTCTCCCTGAATCCTGGTTTTCATCCCTGACTGCAAACCAGGGCCACCCAAGGCTGCTCACTCAAGTCCTCCTCCGAGGGCACCTGACAGCCAGCCTCCCCCGCAACCTCCTTATTATGGGGCTCCTGGACTTGTCCTGTGTGGAATTCCTGGCTTGCTGCCTTCTTGACAAGAAGACCCCTGTGCTGCTGTGCTCCAGGCCCAGTGCTCAGGCCTCTGCCCCCCTGCAAGTCCCATCTACTGTGAGCAGCCTGCGTTCCGCCTGCAGCCTGGCCTCTCCCGACTCCCACACCTGACGAGCCCGCAGCCTGATGCCTTCACTGGACATTCTGTCGGTCCTGCTTATTAAACTTTCCTTTTTGTGTGTGCGTTTATGTGCCAATATTGGGGCTTGAACTCAGGGTCTTGGTATTATTCCTGAGCTTTACTTTTTTTTTTTTTTTTGGGTCCGGTCGTGGGGCCTGAACTCTGGGCCTGGGCGCTGTCCCTCAGCTCTTCAGCTCAAGGCTAGCGCTCTACCACTTGAGCCACAGCACCACTTCTGGCTTTTTTTTTCTGCTTATGTGGTGCTGTGGAATCCAACCCAGGGCCTCATGCATGCAAGGCAAGCGTTCTACCACTGAGCCACCTTCCCAGTCCCCTGAGCTTTACTTTTAAATTTTTGCTCAAGCCTAAGGTCTTACCACTTGAGCCACAGCTCCACTTGTGGCTTTTCTAGCAGTTACTGGAGATAAGACTCTCATGTACTTTCCTGTCTGGCTTTGAAACACGATCCTCAGATCTTACCCTCCTGAGTAGTGAGGATGACAGGCGTGAACCACCAACCCCAGTGAAACCTCTTAAATACGCCCTTTATGTAGTGAGAGGTTCGCCATTCCATTTGTCAGGCACAGTAATCCTTACCTCTGTGTTCTGCTCTCGCCCTGCACCCGGTCCACCCGCAGCCTGTGAATGGCCTCCGCGCTGCCTCGGGCTCCGTCTCTCACCCCCATGCCATCCTCCTCCATCTCTCACCTCACCAAGCAACCACCTCCAAACATGTCTCCACCCTTCTGCTGCTTCTTTAGAGCCCTTTAAAAGCATGAATCAGGTGTTGGATTTCTGTTCCAAAATTTACCAGACCCACCTATTCCCTGACGACTTTGAAGAAGCGGGCATTCTTCAAGTAGGTGTGATACAGTTGGCAGTGCAATGCCTGACATAACTGCACCTTGGCCCAGCCTCCACTGCCACCCCTTCTAAGGGCCGGCCGCCGTCTCCACGGCACATGCTCGCTGTTCTTCCACACCAGAGTTGCAAGTAGGGCGAGTTCTACAAGGTGAGGCGCAAGGCAGCGCTTCCAGCCAGTGGCCGCCAGAGCCTGACGGGCACTCAGGGTGAGGAGGTTCAGTGCTGCCCCGAGAAGGCCAACATACTGCGGTGGCCTCCAACCTCCACACACCCTACTCCTCAGCCTCAGGACACTAACAGCTTGGCCAGGCAGTGCAGAGCAACCCAGCTGCGCCGGCTCACAAGCCCCCACAGGGTAGGTGTTACCCGTACCATGATGGTGGAAACGGGAGGTAAACATCGCTAAACCTATAAGAGCTAAGGTCCAAACTCAGGTCTCTCTTCCTCCGGTACCCATTCCTCACATAAGACCATTGCCTTCTCAAATATCACTCTTTTTTTTTTTTTTTGGTCCAGTTGTGGGGCCTGAACTCTGGGCCTGGGCGCTGTCCCTCAGCTCTTCAGCTCAAGGCTAGCACTCTACCACTTGAGCCACAGTGCCACTTCCGGCTTTTTTCTTTTTGCTTATGTGGTGCTGAGGAATCGAACCCAGGGCCTCAGGCATGCAAGGCAAGCGCTCTACCACTGAGCCACCTTCCCAGCCCTCAAATATCACTCTTACAAGATAATTTTGCTTACAAAATTTCAGGGATCAACGCCCAGCCCGAGTTCAAGCCCCAGGATGAGCATGCACGTGCACACACAGGCACGCGCACACACACACACACAAAATTACTTAAGAAATCAGCAGGGGTTTGTATTATAGAACAAAGTTTCTGTTTTGGTTTTGTTTTAGGGTGCCAGTCTTGGAACTCAGGACTGGGCACTATCCTTGAGTTTCTTTGCTCAAGGTAAGCAATCCACCACTTGAGGCACAGCTCCACTCCTGGACTGATTTTCTGGTAGTTAATTGGAGTAAGAATGGATTTAACGTGGCTTTAACTGCCTGGGCTGGGCTCTAAGCCTAGATCCTCAGATCTTGGCCACCTGAGTAGCTATGAAGGCTAAACCACTGGTGCCTGCTGAAAAGGAGACTATTTTTAAGGGTTTGTCATTTTCTTCACTAAAAGACAGGCTGAGATGAGAATATGATTTGGACATCATGATACACGATTACTGTGTGATTCTTTCATGTAGTGCTGGGAACTGAACCCAGGGCTTTGAGCATGCTAGGTAAGTACTCTACCACTCCATCATTAAGCTTTACTCCTAGCCTTACTTTTGTTTTTAAAATGAGTACACACTACCCAGGAAAAAGCCTTCATCCCTTTATAGGACTAGCTAGAAACTCTATGTATACTTCTTAATGGTTTTCGGAACTTATTTAACTTTAGAGAAAGTGTTAACAGAGATTTCTTTTGTCGAGACCTGGAGTTTGAGCAGAGGACCTTGCAGCGAGGCAGTCAATCCGAACCTTTTCAGGTGGGGTCTTGACTTTTTGCCCAGGACCAGGCTCACACTGCCATCTCCCGACCTACAGCCTCCCCACAGCTGTGATGCCAGACATGTACTGAGACAGGGTCTCCTTCACTGATTTTCCAGGCTGGCCTCAAACCATGATCCTTCCAATCTCTACTCTCTAGTAAAAGATAAGTTGTGTTTTGATCGTAGGGCTTGAACCTAGGGTCTGGGTGCTGTCCCTGAGCTTTTTGTGCTTATGGCTAGCTCTCTACCTTTTAAGCCACAGCACCATTGCCCCCTTTTTGGTGGTTTAATGGTGATAAGTCTTATTGACTTTCCTGCCTGTGATGGCTTCCAACCACAATCATCAGATCTCAGCCTCCTGAAGAGCAAAGATTACATATATGAGTCACTGACGTCTGGAAAGAAAGTTTTTTTTTTTTTTTTGGTCGGTCGTGGGCCTGAACTCTGGGCCTGGGCGCTGTCCCTCAGCTCTTCAGCTCAAGGCTAGCACTATCACTTTGAGCCACAGCACCACTTCTGGCTTTTTCTGCTTATGTGGTGGTGAGGAATTGAACCCAGAGCCTCATGCATGCTAGACAAACACTCTACCACTGAGCTACCTTCCCAGCCCTGGGGGAACATTTCTCAAAAACAACAGTCTTCAGTTTGTGCTTAGCTCCTTCTATAAACACATCAGCCTGGGGCTGGGAAGGTGGCTCAGTGGTAGAGCACTTGCCTTGCATGCCTGAGGCCCTGGGTTCGATTCCTCAGCACCACATAAGCAGAAAAAAACAGAAGTAGCACTGAAGAGCTGAGGGACAGTGCCCAGGCCCAGAGTTCAGGCCCCATGACCGACAATAAATAAATAAAATAAAATTTAAAAAAAAAAAAAAAAAAAAACACATCAGCCTGTCTAATTCTGAGATTTGTCCACAAGAATATTCCTGTCTGGGGATCACAGCTCCCTGGTACTGAGCTCCCAGCTCTGACTTATCATCAGTCATCCACTGTGGTTCTTCCTTAATACCAGTTCCCCTGGAATCATATGGCCATGGATACCAGTAGGCCATGGCCATATAAGATTAAATTAGCATCTTTCACTTAAAGACCCTTGTACAGAATGAATAAAAGGAAGTAAAGGGTGCCAGGCGTCTGCTGATGGCTAACCCTTGTATTGCAGCGTGTAGAATCTGCTTGAACCACCACATCTCAGTGCAGTTAATGTGCAGTGTGGGTGGGTGTCCCTAAGGTGTCCCTTACAGCACCAGAGCTGGGGTGGTGAAGGGACATCCTGGCCTCCTGTCCTAAGTGGCCAGTCAGTCTCTTGCTCACAGAGCACAGGAAGGGAAGTGTGCGGCTAGAGAGTGAGAAGGGCAGGGCGGAGGGCGCCGAGCGGGCCCCAGAGCTTGTGCCATGTGCACGGCCAGTGTGTTCACATTCTTCTCACCACCATCCACAAGCTTCCAGGTGACCCACTCAAAGTCAAAAGGAGAACTAAAGCCAGCTACTGCCTGCTCGCTCTGGCTCTGCCGAAGTCCCACACAAGCTGTTCCCTGTCCTGACAAACGCGGTGCCCTTTCACCAGCCACCTTCCACAACCCGAACCGACTCATGACTCACCCTTGTTTCTGACAGCCCCGTCTACAATGCCCACAGTGAGAGTGGGGTATTCCCAGCTTTGCCCTCGCTCCTTACCCCCAAGATCATTCCAGAAGAATCAAGAACCCACCCGATAGTTCGGGGTGGGGGGACACAGCCACGTGCGCCGGCTTGAGCATTCCCTCCCTGAGCCCCACGGCCGGGTGCAGGCAGCATGGCCTGTCACATCTACGATGGGGACGAGGAGCCTCCTGGATGGGCAGATGACACTTACTGCTCTCATTCACTGGGACCACATCCCAAAGGGCCGATGACTTCGAATACTCCGGGCAGCTGTCCCTAAGCCCCGGGAAGCCTTTGGCAAAGCCCCTCCGGCCCTGAGGACTCCCAGCCCCGCGCAGCCGCCGCCCGCAGGGGCAGAGCGTCCCTGGCCTCGGCACGCCGCGGTCTCCTGAGGGCGACCCAAAGTTTCCAGGAAGTCCAGAACGCCCGAACCGGCCATCCGGCCGCTCACCCGGGCCCCGGCCGAGCCCCGGGCCGGCCCTGCGGGCCACGCCTCCCTCCCCACCGCCGCCCCGCAGCCGCGGGCCGGGGCGGTGCCCGCGCCGGCGTCGAGCCCCCGGGCTCCCGGTCGCGCAGGGCACCAGAGACGCGGCGGAGGCCAGGCGCGACCCCGCGGGCCGCGGCGGGGAGTTACCGCGCGGAGCTCGCGGGGAGAAGCCCCGGGGCCCGCGCGCCGCCGCCCCGCCTCCCGGCCGGCCCGCGGCGCCACTCACCCGCGCCCGGCGCCGAGGACCGCGAGCCCGACGCGGGAGCGGCGGCGCACGGCAGCCGGCGCCGACAAAGCCAGCGCGGCCGTGGCCCGCCCGCCGCGACCGGAAGTCGCCTCACGCCCGCCTGGAGGACTTCCGGCGCCTCGCTAGGACCGCCGGGCTCCTCTCGGTGGTTCGGACTTCCGGCCTGGCGACGGAGCATCGGGATCCCGGGCTTCGCGGCCCGCGGGACGGGACGGGGCCTGGCGGGACGGGACCTCGCGGAGCCTCGCGGGACGGGACGGGGCCTCGCGGGACGGGGCCTCGCGGGACGGAGCCTCGCGGGACGGAGCCTCGCGGGACGGGGCCTCGCGGGACGGGACGGGGCCTCGCGGGACGGAGCCTCGCGGGACGGGGCCTCGCGGAGCCTCGCGGGACGGGGCCTCGCGGGACGGAGCCTCGCGGGACGGGGCCTCGCGGGACGGGGCCTCGCGGGACGGAGCCTCGCGGGACGGGGCCTGGCGGGACGGGGCCTGGCGGGACGGGGCCTCGCGGAGCCTCGCGGGACGGGGCCTGGCGGGACGGGGCCTGGCGGGACGGGGCCTCGCGGAGCCTCGCGGGACGGGGCCTCGCGGGACGGAGCCTCGCGGGACGGGGCCTCGCGGGACGGAGCCTCGCGGGACGGGGCCTCGCGGGACGGGGCCTCGCGGAGCCTCGCGGGACGGGGCCTCGCGGGACGGGGCCTCGCGGGACGGGCCTCGCGGGACGGGGCCGCGCCGGGCCCCGAGCTCCCGCCGTCATCCTCGCTGCCGGGAGGGAGGGTCGCGGCTCGCGGCTCGGAGCCAGCCCGGCCGGGAAGGTTCGGGAGACTCCTCGCCAGGCACCACCGGAACAGCTGCCGGGCTGCAGCCCCGTGTGAAACAGCGACCTCGGTTCGATTCCCGTTACTAGAGGGAAGACTAAGCCGGGCGCCGGTGGCTCACGCCGGTCATCTAGCCACTCAGGAGGCTGAGATCTGAGGATCACGGTTCAAAGCCAGCCTGGGCAGGAAAGTCCATGAGACTCTGATCTCCAATGAACCACCAGAAAACTGGAAGTGGCGCTGTGGCTCAAGCGGTAGAGCGCTGGCCTTGAGCTGAAGAGCTGAGGGATAGCGCCCAGGCTCAGTTCAAACCCCAGGACCAGGAAGTACGTATGTCTGTGGTGCTGAGGAATGGAACCCAGGGCCTCTTGTCTGCAAGGCAAGCACTCCACCGCTGAGCCACCTTCCCAGCCCCCATTATTTTTCTTTGCAAATACATTTTGTACCTAGTGTAAGGTTAATTAAATAGGTAGCTGGTGAAGACAACATGTGGTATTCAGGCAGGAGACAGAACTTTGTTTTCCAAACTGCCCAGCCCCAGCCCAAGTGGGAGATTGCCTGTGGTCTAAGTGGAAAGCAGACATCTCCACCTGGTTTTAAGAGGGGGGGTGGGGTGGGAAGAAGGCCCAGCCAGGTGTGGCTATGCTGGCTGCTGCTGAAACCTCAGGGCCTGGGACACCAGACAACCAGAGGTGGTCCAGGATGTGACCTCAGAGAAGGGGGAGGGACCTGCTCCAGGTGTGCCAGTTACCTTGGTAGCACAGATACTAGGTGGAGACTACCAAGAAGAAGGGAGAGGCTGGCTCACCGGGCTGCCTGCTCTTCCGGGCAGACCTTACACCTGAGAGTCACTTTTTCAAGTGCTTTTCCCCCTGGATGTATTGAAGCATTGTAATCGTCAGGGAAAGTGGACAAATGAGAAAGCTATTTGCTCTTTTTTCTTCTTTTCATGAAATGTTGCAGCTTATGAGGGAATATAAAGTTTAAAGCAAAGAACATAGTATCTATATTTTTGTTTTTGTTTTTTGGGTCCGGTCGTGGGGCCTGAACTCTGGGCCTGGGCGCTGTCCCTCAGCTCTTCAGCTCAAGGCTAGCGCTCTACCACTTGAGCCACAGCACCACTTCCGGCTTTTTTCTTTTTGCTTATGTGGTGCTGAGGAATCGAACCCAGGGCCTCATGCATGCAAGGCAAGCGCTCTACCACTGAGCCACCTTCCCAGCCCCGTATCTATGTTTTTAATCAAGCAATTCATATAGTGTTTGTCTGAATTCCTGTCTGTTGTTTCCCATGTCTTATTTTCCCTGTCCTAATTCACTCCTGCCAATGAACTGGGTACATGGACTCATACCTGCTATGCTAACTAATTAGAAGGCTTAATGAGGGGATTGCAGTTTGAGGCCAGTTTTATGTGTAGGCATGAAGTTATGAGACGTCTCTCTCAATAAAAGTTAAGCATGGTGTTAACCTGCCTATTTGCCTTGCTATGATGGGAATTGTAAATAGGAGAGCCCCAGTCTGGATCAGCCTGGGCAAACAGTGATAGCTATCTCAGAAACCACAGCAAAACAACTGGCTGAGGGGCTGGGAAGGTGGCTCAGTGGTAGAGCGCTTGCCTTGCAGGCATGAGGCCCTGGGTTCAATACTTCAGCACCACTTAAGCAGAAAAAACTGTAAGTGGCATTGTGGCTCAAGTGGTAGAGCGCTAGCCTTGAGCTGAAGAGCTGAGGGACAATGCCCAGGCCCGGAGTAAAGGCCCCATGACCAACCTCCCCCCCCAAAAAAAAAAAAACTGGCTGAGAGCTAATTAACCAGACAAATGCTGGTCTGGCTAAAATGCCACTATGAGAAAGCAAGCTGAGAGAGGCCCTGAATTCAAATGCCAATACTTTCACAAAAAAAAAAAAAAAAGAGGAAGGAGAAGCAAAAATGGAGTCATGGTTTAAAAGGTAGACCAGGGGCTGGGAAGGTGGCTCGGTGGTAGAGCACTTGCCTTGCATGCCTGAGGCCCTGGGTTCGATTCCTCAGCACCACATAAGCAAAAAGAAAAAGGCCGGAAGTGGCGCTGTGGCTCAGGTGGTGGAGAACTAGCCTTGAGCTGAAGAGCTGAAGGACAATGCCCAGGCCCAGAGTTCAGGCCCACTACCAGACCCCCCAAAAAAACAAGGTAGACCAGCTGGGCACCAGTGGCTCACACCTGTAATCCTAGGTACTCAGGAGGCTGAGATCTGAGGATCTCACTTCAAAGCTAGCCTGGGCAGGAAAGTCTTTGAGACTCTTGATTTCCAATAAACCGATAGAAAACGAAGTGGCACTGTGGCTCAGGTGGTAGAATGCTAGCCTTGAGCTGAAGAGCTGAGGGACAGCGCCCAGGCCCAGAGTTCAGGCCCTATGACCAGACCCCCAAAAAAGAATTAAAAAAAAAAATTCTTGCCTGCCTGCCTCTCTCTCTCTCTCTGTAGGGTATGGGGCTTGAACTCAGAGCCAGGGCACTGTCCCTGGGCCTTTTTGCTCAAGGCTACAAGCCACAGCTCTACTCCCAGTTTTGAGTGGTTAATTGGAGACAAGAATCTCCTGGAAACTGGGCACTGGTGACTCACGCCTGTAATCCTAGCTACTTAGGAGGCTGAAATCCGAGGATTGCGGTTCAAAGCCAGCCTGGGCAGGAAAGTCCGTGAGACTCTTATCTCCAATAAACCACTAGAAAACTGGAAGTGTTACTGTGGCTCAAGTGATAGAGTGCTCACTTTGACCTGGAGAGCGCCGGGACAGTGTCCAAGCCCAGAATGCAAGGCCTACAACCGACCAAAAAAAAAAAAAATCTCATGGGGACTCTTCTGTCTCAGGTGGCTTTGAACCATGATCCTGAGATCTCAGCCTCCTGAGTAGCTATAGGCATTGGGCCCCCAGCTTGAATAGTCATTATTATTAAGTATGCCCTTAGGTTTAGCTTTCAACTGATATTTTGTGTTGATCTTTTATCCTGAACTTTGTAGTTCTCAAGCTGACATGCCCTACTGGACAGCAAAATAGTAACAGATTTAGCAAATAAAACACTTAGATGTAAACAATGTAGACAATAAAATAAGAGACTAGCAAAGTCTAGGAACGTTGTGGGGGAGGAGTATATTACAGGATAGGAGGAATAACTTTTTCTTGATTGATTGGTTGTAGGGCTTGAACTCAGGGCCTGGGTACTGTCCCTGAGCTTTTTCCACTCAAGGCTACCCTCCACCACTTTGAGCCACACCTCCACTTCCGGTTTTCTGGTGGTTCATTGGAGATAAGTCTCACACTTTCCTGCCTGGGCTGGCACCCAACTGCAATCCTCCGATCTCAGCCTTCTGAAGAGCTGGGATTACAGGCGTGAGCCACATCGCCCGGCAAGAATAACGTCTAGTATCCTAAGTTACAGGAGGACATGAGCAAAGTAAATCGTGTATCTCAAAATAGCTAATAGAAGATTCTGAGTATTCTCAATACAAAGAAATACCTTAAGTGACTCAAATGTGGTGTCCTGATCTGATCGTTGTACACTGCCTGCCACGTCCACGTGCGGTACTGTATCCCACGTACAATTGCCGTGTGGCAGTTAAAATTAACTGTAACCTTATAATCAGTAATGTGCTGAAGACAAGAAAGCCAGCCTCCTCCCACCAAGGAGCAGGGCGAAGCAAGGTCCTGAGCCTCCGGCGCTGCACCGGGCGGGCCTCCTAGGCCTAGGGCATTGGGCCGGCCCGGTGCTCAGCCAGTGCAGCGCGGACAAGACCACGTTTCCCAGAAGCGCCGCGCCGTGCCACTTCAGGCCAAAGCCTTAGTTTTTCCCAGAGTGCCCCGGGTCGGAGGGACTCCGTTTCCCAGAGTGCCCTGGGTGGGTGGGACTCCATTTCCCAGAATGCGCCTGGTGGGAGGGACTCCGCTTCCCAGAGTGCCCGGGAGGAAGGGCTCCGCCCCCTCCACCTGGCCCGTGTTGGCTGAAGGCACTCCGCGCCAGCCGCGATCCCCGCAAGTAGCGCAGGTGGGGCCGCCGTGGTCAGCGACGAAACCTGGGGATCCCGAGCGGCGGGCCCGGAGGCCCCGGGCCCGGGGGAGGGCGCCTCGCCTCGGGGATCTCGCGGCTCTCGAGGCCAGGCCACCGCCCGGGTGCGCGGCCGTGGAGGGCGTGGCGGCCCGGCCTCCGTGGGCCCGCGCTCGCTGGTCTGTGGAGCGAGAGCGTGGCGGGGAGCAGCGCCCGCAGCTAGCCTGTGCCCGCCCGTCCTGGTCGCCGGGGTAGGGGAGGGAGGTGGAGGGTTGGTACCCCAGCTGGTCCGGACTGCGGCCTCCAGGCGCCGGGTGGAGCCCCGGCAGAGCCCCTCCGGAGAGCCGCGCCGGGAGGGGCTGTGCCTGCGTCCCGACGCTCACTGCACGCTCGGCACCCCTTCCTGAGGGCCTGGGCACGGGAGCGGGAGGACGGGGCGCGGGGCCCCGCCTCACGCCGTGTGGTCCTCCCGGTCAGCTGACATGGGTGAGCCCCAGGCGCCCACGCGGATCCTGGTGACGGGAGGCTCGGGGCTGGTGGGCAGAGCGGTCCAGAAGGTGGTAGCCGACGGGGCCCGACTACCAGGAGAGGAGTGGGTGTTCGTCTCCTCCAAAGATGCGGATCTCACGTGAGTTGGCCTCCCCAGAGCACCCCACTTTCCCGTGCCCTCTCCAGACCCAAGCGCTGTGGGCTGGGTCTGCTCCTGACTCCGCCAGGTGCCTGGCCTGGCCTGGCCCTGGCGCGCTGGCTGTAATGTCAACAGACATCTTCCCGTTCCTTCTGGAAGGCCACGCCCTAACACCTGCTAGGCGCTGAATGCGGCTACGTGTCCCTTCCGCCAGCCCTCCTACCGCGGCCCCACCCCTCCTGCCCCCAGTGCCCCCACTCCTGAGGCCTTTGTGCACCCCTGACATCCAGCTCCCCCCAGGGATGCAGCGCAGACCCAAGCCCTGTTCCAGAAGGTCCAGCCCACCCACGTCATCCACCTTGCCGCAATGGTGGGAGGCCTGTTCCGGAACATCAAATACAATTTGGACTTCTGGGTAAGTCGGGGCAGCAAGCCCTTGGAGCCGGGAGCTCAGGTCTGGGAACTTCCTGGAGGCTTCTCATGTGCACAGGGTCATGTTCCCACTCCAGGAGGCCCCTGTGGACTAGGCCTCTGGGGGGCAGCCCGTGAGGGCCCCAGCCCCCCACCCTCAGTATTATGGGCAGAGGTCCCACAAAGAGGCCTGGAGGCATTTACCCTAGTAGAAGAGCCGTAGAGCTGGCCTGCAGGATTGGGAAGTGGAAGAAGCCAATGCTGCAGGGTGGCTAAGGGCCGAGTCCTGCTTACTAAGACCTCCGAGCTGCCAGGTTCTCGGGCCCCCACGCTGATGCTCACACAGCTCCCCAGCACCAGGCCCACCATGCCCACCAGGGTAAGGGGCTATGGTGTGTGTTCCAGGAAGAAGGGGCACACGGTAAGGCCTCTGCCTGTGCTTCCTGTGCCCCTGAGAGTTGGTCTGCCTTCCTCGAAGTAGCCTTGGCCTGGCTTCCCTGTACCAGGCACCAGGCTCCGAGGCTCCCACTAGATCCTGCCCAGGAGCTCTGTCATCTAGACTCCTGAACTGTCCCAGCCTTCCCAGCTCAGCTTCCCACCTCTCCCCTGCCCTGGGACCAGTTCGAATACCTTGCCCGTTCATGTCAGTTTAGGGAAGGAAACAGCCTGGAGGGGGCCTGCAGGCCACGGGGAAGTAGAGTTGGGCCAAGTCCTCTGGTGAGTGCTGGGGGGGACCCCAGCTCTTCCCCCCCCCCCCCGCCCCGCCCCGTCTTCTACCACCTGCCTTGTACCTGCGGCCCTGGTCAGGCAGTGGCTTCTGTAAAGAAGGTCAGTACTGGGAGATTCTGCTATTAGGACACACAGGTCCTGCCCATGCCTGAGTGGCCAGGGTATGTCCCCACCGCCATACCTGGAGAGTCAGGAAAGGCCTTGACTTCTGCCCGGGCCTCCTGACCCCCGTCCCACCCTGCCTCCGCAGAGGAAGAACGTGCACATCAATGACAACGTCCTGCACTCGGCCTACGAGGTGGGCGCGCGCAAGGTGGTCTCCTGCCTGTCCACCTGCATCTTCCCCGACAAGACCTCCTACCCCATCGATGAGACTATGGTAAGGGTGCAGGGCATTCTGGGAGGAGGGACCTGACTATACGGGCAGAGCTGGGAACTGGGGGGGGGGAGGGGAGAATGCTCAGTGCACCTCCTTCTCCCCTAGATCCACAATGGGCCTCCTCACAGCAGCAACTTTGGTTACTCCTACGCCAAGAGAATGATTGATGTGCAGAACAGGTCCGCCCCATGCTCTCCCCCAGGCCCGCTGGGAGGGGGCAGAGGGCTCAAGTGCCCATTGGTAGATGGGGCTGGCCGGGGAACCAGGCTGGCCTTGCTGCTTGGCTTCTGCATCTGGAGGAGGCGGGCAGCGGTGGGGGCAGGCATGTGTCCTGGCATGCGGGCAGGAGACACTGTGCCTCCGCAGGGCCTATTTCCAGCAGCATGGCTGCACCTTCACCGCCGTCATCCCCACCAATGTCTTTGGGCCCCACGACAACTTCAACATCGAGGATGGCCACGTGCTGCCTGGCCTCATCCACAAGGTGCACCTGGCCAAGAGTGAGTGCGGCTGCCCGGCACACCCTGGCCAGGGCCCCGCGCCTGGGGGAGCTGCAGCGGCCAGGGTGCGCTGACGCCCACCCCTGCATCTGCCCGCAGACAGCGGCTCGGCGCTGACGGTGTGGGGCACGGGGAAGCCGCGGAGGCAGTTCATTTACTCACTGGTGAGAGTGGCTGGGCGGGGTGGCAGGCCAGTCCCTGGTCCTCTAGTGTCCGGGTGAGCGCCTGTCCTGAGAGTCTCTGGGCGCACCTCAGCATGGCAGGGCGCGGGGCTGCCATCCAAGATGGGTCCTGGTGCGCCCTGTGGCCTCGAAGGGGCGTTGGGCCATCGCTTGGGGAGTTAACCTGCCCTTCTGACCTCCAGGACCTGGCCAAGCTCTTCCTCTGGGTCCTGCGGGAATACAATGAAGTGGAGCCCATCATCCTCTCAGGTGGGCCTGCAGTCCCCACCCTGTCCCCACCGTGGGGAGCACCCCTGCAGTCCCCACCCTGTCCCCACCGCGGGGAGCACCCCTGCAGTCCCCACCCTGTCCCCACCGCGGGGAGCACCCCTGCAGTACTCACCCTGTCCCCCACCGCGGGGAGCACCCCTGCAGTCCCCACCCCGACCACGGGGAGCACCCCTGCAGTCCCCACCCTGTCCCCACCGCGGGGAGCACCCCTGCAGTCCCCACCCTGTCCCCCACCGCGGGGAGCACCCCTGCAGTACTCACCCCGACCACGGGGAGCACCCCTGCAGTACTCACCCCGACCGCAGGGAGCACCCCTGCAGTCCCCACCCTGCCCCACCGTGGGGAGCACCCCTGCAGTACTCACCCCGACCGTGGGGAGCACCCCTGCAGTCCCCACCCTGCCCCACCGTGGGGAGCACCCCTGCAGTACTCACCCCGACCGCGGGGAGCACCCCTGCAGTCCCCACCCTGCCCCACCGCGGGGAGGGAGCAGGAGGACCCTGAGGGTCTCGGTGGAGGCTGACTGGCCGCTGGCTTCTCCTCGCAGTGGGTGAGGAGGATGAAGTCTCCATCAGGGAGGCCGCGGAGGCTGTGGTGGAGGCCATGGACTTCCATGGGGAGGTCACGGTATCCTTTGGCTCTGGGAGGGCGCCGTGGTCTCCTGCTGCCTGAGCAAGCATTGCCCAGCTCTCTGGTAGAGTCTGGCCTGGCGGCAGCAGGGCGAGCTGCCGTCCCTCCAGGCCTCAGTGGGCAGAGGGCAGAGGGCCGGGGTGGGGCAGAAGTAGGGTGGTTGTCCTTCTGCAGTGGCCCTGACCAGTGTGCCCAGTTTGATACCACCAAGTCAGATGGGCAGTTTAAGAAGACAGCCAGCAATGGCAAGCTCCGGGCCTACCTGCCGGACTTCCGCTTCACACCCTTCAAGCAGGGTGAGTTCTCACTCCTGCCTTCTGGCCTCACCCCTATGTGGACTCCTTGCTATGGCCTCAGTGTTCCTGCGGGGACCTGGAGAAGGGGCCCTGCGGTGTCATCAGAACTCAGACCAGACGGGGAGATTTCCTCATCCCCACCCCCTCACCAGCCCCCCATGTCTGCCTCCCCAGCCGTGAAGGAGACCTGTGCTTGGTTCACTGAACACTATGAGCAGGCCCGGAAGTGAGGGCCCGGCAGGAACAGGCAGCCGCCATTCTCAGACCTCACCAGGAGATGAGGGCAGGGCTCAGCGGCCCAGGCCATGCCGGGCCCCTCAGCAGGGGTGCCCCTCGGCAGGGTGCCACGTACATCTGTCCTCAGGGAACATAAGGCCTGGGCTGGCCCCGCACCTCACTCCACCCTGGTCCCACTGTCCCGTCTGGGAACTAATAAAATACATTTCCACCAGCCTGCTCTCCTCAGCTGTCAGCCCCACACCAGCACTGTCTGGCCGCCTGGCCGGGTCCCGGGCGCACTGTCCTGCGGGCTGCCCAGAGCCAGCGTCCCTGGAAGGAGGCCCAGCGCTGGAAATGTGGGCCCAGGATGTAGGGAGGTGGGGGCAGGTGCTTCCCCAGGAATCTGACCCTGGCTGGTCCCAGCCTCTCCACATGTGGCCACATTCACACTTCGGTGGTGGGAGCTGGTCTGGGCCTCCCTGCCTCCACCCTCTGCCTTGGGCAATCAGGCTGCATCTGAATTTGGACACACACTGGACACATTAGACCTGCAGGGAACTGGTGCCTGGGTGGCCCACACTTCCCTGGGTCTCTAAGAGAGTTGGGCCTGATCTGGGCTGTGCTCTCCTGAGCCCTCAGGACTCTGGCCTGGCCTGTGATAGGTCAGTTCTGGCCACCAGCAAGGTGAGCATCATTGGCCTCCCTATTCTCGGTGGGGAGAAAGCAAAGCCCAGGCCAGGCATGGTAGCGCAGGGACACAGACCAGGAATGGTAGGTCTGGGTGTCAGAGGTGCACTGGCCCCCTTGCCTGGTCTCACTGCAGCCCTGGGGCATTGGATTATGGCCCCAACAGCGGGTTCTATCACCCCAGATAGCTAGGTGGATGGCACAGGGCACCCTTCCACTTGCCACCCTCAGTCTGAGGACTGAGCCACTGCCATCCCTGGAGGCTGAGGAAGAGCACGGAGACGTGATCCCAAGTCTGAAGGGGGCTGGAGCACCTATGGGTGCAGCAGAAATGGCTGCAGGCAGGCAGCGGTGATAGCTGGCCCCTGTGCAAGAGGTTAAGACCCTGGTTCTCCAGGTGCTTTGTTCACAACCTGTAGCCCCACAGCCTAAACTCTCATCCAGAAGGGTGCCCCCCAACTGTCCTGTCCCCCAGAAAACCAAGCCCATTAACTTCCATCTTCCTGGATGCTCAGAAGTGTCAGCTTCTCAACCCAGCCCTACCTTCCCAGAGACTCTTCCTCTCAACCCCAGCAACGTCAAACATGTCCAACTTCTTTCTCAACCCCGACTCAACCTCCTGAACTGCAGTGGCTGCAGTTGGTAGAGTGATGTCCCCCTCCAGGGGCCTCAGAGCAGTCCCCGGCCTCTGCCCTCCATCTGCTGGCATGTCCAGTCTGTGTGGCTCCTCTGGCTCACAGCTCCCACACCCGGACTTCCTGTACACAAATCCCTCTGATCAGTCCACCAACCAGAGAGAAATAGGCCTAGGCTTGGAGAACCTTCACTGCCTGCCCACCCTCCCCCCCCCCCCCCCAAACCTCCCCAGACCTTGGAGAGATTGGCCTGAGCCAGTGGGGCCTCTTCTTGTTGTGATCGTCCATCCATGATCCCACCTTAAGGTGTAAACCTGCCCAAACTGCCCTCCTGTCCTGGAAAATGCTCTGCTGCCTAGCAACCACCAATGCGTTACCTCTTACTGTCATGACAAGGTGGGCACTGACATCTAGCGTCAGAAGTCAGTGTTCTCCACGGGCGCTGGTGGCTCAGGCTTGTAATCCTAGCTACTCAGGAGGCTGAGATCTGAGGATCGCAGTTCAAAGCCAGCCCGGGCAGGAGAGACCGTGAGACTCTTATCTCCAATAAACCACCAGAAAACCGAAAGTGGCGCTGTAGCTCAAGTGGTAGAGCGCTCGCCTTGAGCTGAAGAGCTGAGGGACAGCGCCCAGGCCCAGAGTTTAAGCCCCACGACTGACAAAAAAAAAAGTGTTCTCACCGTCTGCCTCTTAACTGATAATCACTGCCTTGACTACCCTCTGCTCATGTAGCTGCCGGCATCTGAACCCGAGCCCGGCCTCTGACACGCCCAGGCATTGATGAAAGCGCCTGGAGGAAGCACCCAAGCTCCGCGAGCTCCACTCTACCCCAAGCGCTTGCTTGGCCATCTCATACCTGTCTGCAGTGAGCTTCTGCAGCTCATTCTGCAACACGATGGTGGTCAGTTTTTTTGTCACAAAAGTAACAAATACCTAAGAAAATCAACTTCTTATAAACAGGGCTCTAATCCAAGCAACTCTGGAGGCTAAGATCTGAGGATTGCCGCTCGAAGCCAGTCTGGGCGCAAAAAGTCCATGAGAGACTGTTATCTCCAATAAGCTACTCAAAAAAGCCAGAAATGGCGTTGTGTTCCGGCGGTAGAGCGGCAGCCATGAGCACAGAGCTCAGGGCAGAGCAGAGCTCAGGACAGAGCCCAGGCGGAAGTTCAAGGTCCAGGATGGGAAAAGGAAGAAAATGAAGAGAGGCTGGGGTGCTTCTGCTCCTGGCCTCCTTCGTGGTGGGAGGCAGCGGTCCCCCTGGGAAGGCTGGGCGGGAGGGTCCACACGGAGGGCTGGGCGGGGAGGCTGGGCTGGGGGGGGTCCACGCGGAGGGCTGGGGGGAGAGGCTGGGGGGGAGAGGCTGGGCTGGGGGGGTCCACGCGGAGGGCTGGGCGGGGGGGGGGGGGGGGGGGGGGGGTCCACGCGGAGGGCTGGGCGAGGAGGCTGGGCGGGGGGGGGGGGGGGGGGGGGGGGGGGGGGTGTCCACGCGGAGGGCTGGGCGGGGAGGCTGGGGGGGTCCACGCGGAGGGCTGGGCGGGGGGGCTGGGGGGGTCCACGCGGAGGGCTGGGGGGGGTCCACGCGGAGGGCTGGGGGGGGTCCACGCGGAGGGCTGGGGGGGGTCCACGCGGAGGGCTGGGCGGGGGGGGGGGGGCCACGCGGAGGGCTGGGCGGGGGGGGGGGGGGGGGGGGCCACGCGGAGGGCTGGGCGGGGGGGGGGCCACGCGGAGGGCTGGGGGGGGGTCCACGCGGAGGGCTGGGCGGGGGGGGGGGGGGGGCCACGCGGAGGGCTGGGCGGGGGGGAGGGGGGGGTCCACGCGGAGAGCTGGGCGGGGAGGCTGGGCGGGGGGGATCCACGCGGAGGGCTGGGCGGGGAGGGCTGGACGGGAGGGGTCCACGCGGAGGGCTGGGTGGGGGGGGTCCACGCGGAGGGCTGGGCGGGGAGGCTGGGCGGGGAGGCTGGGCGGGGGGGATCCACGCGGAGGGCTAGGCGGGGAGGGCTGGGCGGGGGGGGGGGGGGGGGCCACGCGGAGGGCTGGGTGGGGGGGTTCCACGCGGAGGGCTGGGCGGGGGGGGGGGGTCCACGCGGAGGGCTGGGTGGGGAGGCTGGGCGGGGGGGATCCACGCGGAGGGCTAGGCGGGGAGGGCTGGGCGGGGGAGGGGGGGGCCACGCGGAGGGCTGGGTGGGGGGGTTCCACGCGGAGGGCTGGGCGGGGGGGGGGGGGGTCCACGCGGAGAGCTGGGCGGGGAGGCTGGGCGGGGGGGATCCACGCGGAGGGCTGGGCGGGGAGGGCTGGGCGGGGGGGGGGCCACGCGGAGGGCTGGGTGGGGGGGTTCCACGCGGAGGGCTGGGCGGGGGGGGTCCACGCGGAGGGCTGGGTGGGGGGGTCCACGCGGAGAGCTGGGCGGGGAGGCTGGGCGGGGGGGATCCACGCGGAGGGCTGGGCGGGGAGGGCTGGGCGGGGGGGGGGGGGGGGGGGGCCACGCGGAGGGCTGGGTGGGGGGGGTCCACGCGGAGGGCTGGGCGGGGGGGGGGGTCCACGCGGAGGGCTGGGTGGGGGGGTCCACGCGGAGAGCTGGGCGGGGAGGCTGGGCGGGGGGGATCCACGCGGAGGGCTGGGCGGGGAGGGCTGGGCGGGGGGGGGGGCCACGCGGAGGGCTGGGTGGGGGGGGGGTCCACGCGGAGGGCTGGGCGGGGGGGGGGCCACGCGGAGGGCTGGGTGGGGGGGTCCACGCGGAGGGCTGGGCGGGGGGGGGTCCACGCGGAGGGCTGGGCGGGGAGGGCTGGGCGGGGGGGGGGCCACGCGGAGGGCTGGGTGGGGGGGGGTCCACGCGGAGGGCTGGGCGGGCGGGGTCCACGCGGAGGGCTGGGTGGGGGGGGTCCACGCGGAGGGCTGGGTGGGGGGGGTCCACGCGGAGGGCTGGGCGGGGGGGGGGCCACGCGGAGGGCTGGGTGGGGGGGGGCCACGCGGAGGGCTGGGCGGGGGGGGTCCACGCGGAGGGCTGGGCGGGGGGGGTCCACGCGGAGGGCTGGGCGGGGAGGGCTGGGCGGGGGGGGGGGTCCACGCGGAGGGCTGGGCGGGGGGGGGGTCCACGCGGAGGGCTGGGCGGCGCGCAGGCGCTCCCTCGGCCGGCTGGGCCGCTCCCCTTGGGCCCGGGTCTAGCGCTGACCGGGGTGGGGCGGCGTTCAACTCGCGGCTCGGCCCCGCGCGTGGGACTCCCGGGGCTGCGGCTGGGAGCACCTCCCTGCGGGGGTCCCCTTGCGCCGCTTTGGGGACGAAGTTAGGCGTTCTCAGGACACCTCGCCCGACGCCCGTCCTCCGGAAAATGACGGCCAGGGAGCACAGCGGCGCCCGGCGCCCCCGAGCGCGGCGGCACCTCCGGCGCCCGCGGGTTCCGCCCCGCCCCCAGAGGCCACGCCTCCTCCCTTCCGCCAATGGGAGGCGAGGGGTCCTGCGGCTCTTTGTGCCAATGAGCGGCGAGGGGCGGGGCCCAGTGCTTCCCGGGCGCCGGCGGGCGGGTGCGCGCCATGGCGTCCGCGGAATCCCGGTCGCAGCGCGTGGGCTTCGTGGGCGCGGGTCGTATGGCGGAGGCCATCGCGCAGGGCCTCATCCGAGCAGGTGGGGCGGCGGAGCTTGGCCGGGGGGGCGGCGGGCTTTCCTGGGCGGGAGGATGCGCGTGTCGGGGCGGCTCGGGCGAGCCCTCGGGGCCCGCTGCGGGGTCCCGGGACCCCCGGCCCGCGTGCAGCCCGCGCGGCCCTAGCTAGAGCCGCTGCTCCCGCTGGCCTCGAGCCGGTCGGAAGCTGCGTGCTTCCCGAGTGTAGGATCGGGGCCTGGCTGGTTCGGGGCCCCGGCCTCCGGACCGCCCGCGCGGGACAGGAGCTCCTTTGGACGCACCTTGGCCTGCGCTTCA